TTATCACCACAGACCGTGGACGCCGGTTCGAATCTGGACTTTTCTGTTGTCTGACTACATTATTACGAGTCACACAATTCCGAACGACCGCCCACCATCCACAAGCAAACGGGTCGGTGGGACGCTTTGACCGACGGATAATTGCTTCACTATCAGCTACAAACGTTTCACAGTGGACCGACGATCTTCCACTGGTCTTACCAGGTATTCGCAATGCAGTGAAAGCTGACATTGGATACACTGTAGCTCAACTGGTTAATAAAACGACACTTCGATTTTCAGGAGAATTCGTGGATCCTTCACTTTCTTCAACGAACATGGATCTAACCTCCTACACGAGCATGCTTACAGACGCAATACGTTCAGTTAAACTTGTTTCCACTCGATCACGGTCAACTGATGTTTCTGTTCAACCTTCCTTATGGCACAGTACACACGTTTTCGTACGTCGCAAATCACTTTGATGACCTCTCAAAATAGCATATGAAGGACCCTTCAAAGTTCTTCAGTGCGAACCTTAGAACTATATAATCGATAAGAATGGAACAAACGATAGCATCAGCATCGAACACATCGAGCACATTTAGAAGGAAATCCTATTCACGTCGGTGCTCCTTCGGTACAATCGGACGACACGGCTCCTATTCATATAATACCTCATTCGATAGCCAATACGCCCGATGATACTTCGGCAGTAGCAGGAAATAAACTTAAAACAACGATTTCTGGAAGAAGAGCAAGATTTTCAGAACATTTATACGATTATTGCATGTATGATACTAGTTGACATCTTATATCATCTCGATTTTTTTTCGTATTATATATATTATTAAACACCAATTTTAATATGTTTATATATTTTTATTTTTATTTCAAAAAAACAAAAACAAAAAATCATTCTGCATGAGTTTATTTTCCTTTTTTTCGCCTACTTTGTACCTTTACGCGCGTACGAGTGTATTTTGACATGCACTTACATATTCTTTTTTCTTTTCCAGGACGGCAGGAAAAGACGGAAAAAGAACTACGAAGTTTACGAGGAACCAAAACTTTCATTGTACCTTGTTTCTTTATTACCATATTGTACTAAATCGTCCCTTATGGTATGAAAAGACGACCAGATGCTGCTAAACATAGCAAGCTATCAGAAGAGTGTTTACCAACGACAGAGTCGTTGAGTTTAAACTTCTAGCTGGCCACGCCTTAGCGTCAACGTTACCCCACTAGGGGGAAGAGGTATGTAGCGGTAAGTATATCCCCAAAATATATAGCTCTGTACGCTTTCGACATTGGATGCTGACCACATGTTTTAGTGTACTCATCTAGCTGAAGGTGCTCAGTCATGCAACCGCACCAGATCACGAGTGATAATGCCGTGATCAACATCCCCTTCAATCGCTAGCCAGTCTAGATCAGTCGATCCTCGATATATTGATAGCTTATAAAGTATATATATATTTGAACCTCCTCGCTTCTGTCTTTTGATTTCTCTTGGTGGGTACGATTCACATTGGAAAGTGTTGCTGGTTAAACCGTTATCAAACTTCAAATACCTGTGGCATCTTCAGTCCTTTTATGATCAAAAAGACCGAGTCATTATTAGGAATCGGTTTACTACCGAGTTGTAATCGTTTGTACTCTCTGCATCTTTTATTCTCTGTCATTTGATCTTAGTATGTCTAAAATGTACGTCTCGTAAACATAAGTTGTATTCTAGCCTTACTACATACGCTGTATTAACGTTATTTGTCGGTAGAATGGATAAGTATAGAGCATGTACATCCCTTCAGTATCATTTTCGTTTGACCATAATAATCAGACAGGAAATCAAAAGCTTCAAGACCAAGAAGATGATTATAAAAATAAGTAACTGCTCAAGTAGAATGAATATTGGTGAAGATTAAAAATTACTACAACAACTAGTTCTCATTGGGGTATCAGAATGAAATGTTAATAAATGAATAAGTAAAATTTCTTCCACGTTTATGCAGATCAGACAAACATAAACATTTTGGGATACCGACCGATGATTTCTTGAATTGCCGACAATCTAGAAATCCTCGGTTGTAATACTTCTGTATAATAACGTATATCAGCAAACTTCCATGTGTTAATCTTTATTACTTCGAGTCTTGACTTGGCACTCTTAGTATCTTATCAAAGTATGAGCCGTGTGATTGAACAACCATGAGCGTTTTTGTATAAGTAGAAATTTATGGCACCAAGTAGATTACTGTTTTTCTCTTTTGTGAAAATAATAGCGTTATATTCACGATACAATTATTCATCTGCTTCAGTTTTAGGTTAAGCAAAACAAACTATTCAGTCCAAAATGACAATGATAAAGAATATTATTAAACCGAGAGAAAACTACTTCAAATTCGAGATGCAAAACGGATGCAGTACATTATACTGTAACGTCTTTCAGATCTTAACTACATTCAGACTCCAAATTCTGTTTGTTAGGTTTTTAAAATATTTGCTTGTTGCCATTAACCTTCAAGAGGTAGGAGAGCTTTTTTAATGGCGGAAAGGTATGTTTTACGTTACGTTGGCCCCGAAGCTGAGTAGTGGAATAAGCCATTTATTCATCGTGCATACGATCGTGAACGAAGATTAATGCTAACCGCCTTCAGGAATCTGAAGAACGTATCCGTTGTGTCTTTATGTCCCGCTAATTAGCTAGTAATGTGTTAAGTTTAAGGGAATTATAGGAGACATGGTACACCAGGATCACATCCTTCCTGTTTTTCTATACCTCTTCTGTTTAAGATTTGGAACTTTGTAAAGGACTGAGTGGGGTCTGTTTTTTGGCATGAGTCTTTTTTAGCTTGATACACAATGAATTTGGTCTACAGTTGGACGTTGTTTTGCCTTTTACACTTGCATAGCCATAAAGATGCCACGGGTAATCAAAGATTGACAAAAAATTTTCACGTAACACCTTTATCATCGAAAGATACCAACCCATTCAAATCAGAAGTCAGAAATTAAGGAGATTCAAATACTTATTTGGAAGGCTATTGATATATGGAGAAGCATTTTGTGTTAGTTGCCTAACGGTTTCAAAGTATGCGTAGCACAGTGTACCTATGGATGTGTGACCGGGCCTCTTTAGTTAGGTGTGTCCGGTAAAATTAATGAAGTCGGCATCAAATTTGAAGATTTACAGAGCTACTGACTTTGGGGGTTGTTTACCATTTCAGCCCACTCTTTCCCTATAGTGGTAGTGACGACACTAAGACGTGGCCTGCTAAAGTCTGAACCCAATGAGCTTTTTGTTGGTAAACACTGTCCTGATGGCTTTATATGTTATGCAACTTCTGGTCGTCTTTCCCCGATATAAGGGGCCATGTTGTACAGTATAGCAATAGGTAAAAGTGTATTAAAAATTTTTATTACTAGTATTTTTGTCAATTTTTCCATTCTTTCCAGCCGTTCAGGAGGAGAATTAGGATATTGTAGGTGCGTGTTGAAATACACTAACACGTGCGTCAGGAAAATTAACTGGCATATATGTGTTTTATTCACATGGTATAGCGTAATAACAATATTCGCACAACGATTGTTATTTAGAAAATAAATAATATGCGCATATGCATGAGCATATTAGAAAAAGTAGTGTTCGTCTTTGATTTGAGCGTACAGGAGAAAAATCAACACTACTAGGGTCTCCTTCCAAATGCGTGGATTTAATCTTGAATGACGTCATCGTTGGTTTTGTTATTTTTATGATAAAGAGCGTTGAAGAGTGTATCTTACTCATTCTTGAATACGGTATTTCAGTTTATAGTAGTCGCGGGCATAATGACCTGATTAAAATTGAAGGTGTTAAAGAAGGTTCACTGAAGCTGTTTTGGGGTGTTCCGACAACAAGGATTATCACCAAGGATGTCATTAGGTCAAATTAGAAACTTTCCGCATCAGTCATATCAAATAAAAACATTGTCTTTACCTACCAGCTTATTAACGGTACTTCTTGCTCTTCGGTATCTACCCCTTCCTAATTTATGACACCATCCCACGACCTACGCAATAAGGAAAATATTCTAGCGATTCCGAGCACCTACACAAACTTACTCCAGAATTTCTTCGTTATTAGCTACTCAACCATGTGGAACAGACTGTCAGTGGACCTCCGTTGCAGTGAAAGTAAAATCCGGTTCAGAAGTTCTCTTGATGATTTTTATTCCAAACGTGGATTGTGTCATTTATTGAATATCAACTTTTAATAATGATTTATACAAACAAGGTCCGTCATCCATCTGTTTGATTATACTTTGGAACTAATTGTGACTTTCATAGCATCATTCTTAAATATTATTGCACAACAGTTTGTATTAATATCAAGTTTGACTCTGAATCCTATCAAATAGCTTTACATGTATTCACTCGAGTGCACTAAAAAATTAACAGAATTAACGATTTGCTTCAGAGGTACATACTCATCTTAAGTATTTCCTCCCTCACTCCAAAAGGATCAGGACACTCTGGAGCGTATCCGACGGCGAGCCACGAAATCAGTTCGAGGACTCAAATTTAAACCTTATGAGGAGTGCCCTCAATCACCTAACCTTTACTCATTAGAGTATAGGCGTCTTAGAGGTGAACTTCTAATGGCTTACAGCATCCATAATATTTCTGGACATCCTGTTAAACACCTACTTAAGCTTAGTCCCAATACAAACCTAAGTGGTGACACCCAGAAATTGGAGATACAACATAGAAGAACAGACAGTAGACACAACTTCTACTCCTTAAGAGTTGTCAAATGCTAGCCGAGCTAGCCTAAGCGACTTCCTATGAGTCCTTTAAGAGGCAACTTGATCTATTCTTAAGGTAAAAGGATGGTATCATACTGTGATTTACCAGTTTCTTTTTCCTCTTTTATCGTTAACATACCTAGGTTCCTGCCTGGAGGTACTCGTGATCCCCTGCTACTAGACACAGAAGCCTGTTAAGCGAAAGCTTCTTCTATTCCGTCCACAACCATTTGAACCATTTGAAAAGGCGGAAATACAGATTGTTGGGCTACTGATTTGTTTCGGTGTTTGATGTTTCACACAAATGTTCCCAACCTCAGGTTTTTTTCAGGAGTTGCTGTGCCCAGCCTTCAGTGAAGGAAACTGCGATAGACCATATTGCCATTTCAATCATTTTGATGGGCAAAGTCAGTAATCTCCCTAAAAGTTATTACAGTACCCAATCTGTATACAGATTGTAATATTTTGTTTCTATGTAATTGATGTGTAATTTTGGATAATATCAAAGCCACGAAAATTTAGTCGCAAGCGTTCTTGCATGATCCGACTTAGTTGCACGTATATGGGCACTACATAGTGCCCATGTTTGACGAGTACTCGTCAAATTAACAGGACTAACAAGTAAAGAGGGGTGAGGTAGATAATGAGAATATAAGGAAAACAAACGGGTTGGGAGTTGTTAGTTGTCCATACTAACTATCCGAGCTACTTTAGTTGTTGGAGACCAACGGCCTCATCGGTCGAATTGCTATCCTTATCTAGTGTATATACACTAGTAGTAGTGTATACTACGTAGGACATTTTATATCCAGGAATACAATCAGCTTTGGGGATCAGAAAAGCTGAATATCATGTTAATTATGCAGTGCGATTTTCGTTTTTCAGCTTGCTGGAAAAGTAAGTTTTGGTTGTTGGGAAATAAAACTGGTTGTTTTTAGAGACAATTGACGGTCCGTTTTTTGGTCAAAATCTGGTTTGTTAGAACTAATTTCTTTCAGACACGTTGCCACATGTTCCGTGAACTTGTTTCTATCTTTGTTATGACTCATTAGCTTGCTATCATGGACTGTAAGACATTGGAACCACAGCTAATCTATTTAATTCAATAATTCATGCATGGACTTCTTTGGTACTGTCGAGTCTCAACTAACCTAAACAAATTTTAGGCGAGGTAGTTGTAGACTTAAGAATATAGCCTTAATCAAATTACTATTGACCAAACGTCTCTTAGAAGCGTAGCCATATAGATTTAACAAATTTCTGCAGCATTGAATACTAAGAGGCACCCTTAATCACCGGAACGATGTTTTATAATTATAAATTTATTTATACGTCAAGGCACTAATGTATACAATACAAGGTATGAGATAGTTGGAGAGAAGTTCGGGACGGAAAACTGTGCTAAAATTGGGATAGCATGTATTAAATAAAATAATCACGATCCAGGTAAATTTTACTTGTCCCTAAGAGACATCTTAATGTTAATAAGCAATAAAATAAAAACTGCAGCAGATTAGTGCCAGTTTTTGTTTCCAAACATGTCTAATTATGGTAAAGATGACAATGGTGAGAACGCGTAGCTCTCAACCGATAGATTAAGGCTTTGCATCTCACCCCACGTGTTTTGTCCTATACAGTCAGGTGGTATCAGTTCTCACATTAACAGTTAGGCTCAAGACCGAGCACGCGTATCCAGAAACATTATTTTTCATGTCAGGGTCCCATGACTTTTAGGACTCCGTCCATTCAGTTGTAATGAAGCAAGGGCTATTAAGTCAATGGAACCATTCTTTGTTATATATCGTCATATTGTAAACCATCTATACCTTTATTTTTAACATTCGGTTAGTGCCAAAAAGTAATATGCAGCGTGGGAGTATTTACGACACGTGAAATATGTATTTATTAAATCCTTATCACGAACATATACAAAATATTGCTGGTTTTTGCGTTATTATCGAACATCAGTAATCTATCGGAAATCACGATAATCAAACACAAGCAGCTATCGGATATCTTCCGTTCAATAATTTTGAAATCCAGCTCTATTGGATTAAACTAATCTGGTTGACACTTCACAATGCTTTATTTATGATCTATGTTTCACTACTAGAGATTCACAAATGGTTGAGATGTTTAGTATTTCACTTACTTAAGGAAATAAGTAAATTATGGTGTAGTGATTGTACACTCCATTATCATGTTATGTACCTGGTATTAATGTACTGGAGGTAAATTATTTTGTATTCTTTGGGGTTACTTGTTTGGTTAAATTATTTGGTACAGCAGAACTATCAGGTTGCATATTTTTAACTAAGCAATCAAGTTATATAATCAAACAGTGAACAGCTGTCTACTTACGTACTTCAGGGGTTTATGAATTGTACTTAACTGCATTATTCGTCCAAGGTCAGGTTAAGCTGTTAGTCTCAGGGATGAAGTTATGAATGAAGTGCAAACAAAATTTGAACCGTGTGTACATATATTTGAAAGTTAGTTAGTGGTTTCAAATGCTGTTTGCAACTAAACTTAGCCTTATTGTCCTCAAAAACTATAAGTTATGCTTCCGTGATATCCTATTTTACGTCTTTTGGTGTTTTAGTTTTGGAGAATGTAGCGGCTTAAATAGATAAATATGTTTCTAGGAATACTTTTATTTTATCTGAACATAAAGATTGGTACAAAGGGGAAACCAAATATCCATACGCGCCACCCAGTAACAATAATAATGAGAAGAGATAAAGAATGTAAAATGCGTATGAGAAAAAGGAGAACAATAACGAACAGAAATTAGTGTATGATAGTGAAATAATAATGGGAGAAGCAGTTCAGCTAAAAAAGTCATGTTCACCTTTTATGAAGAAAGTAAATGAAGGTTACAGCAGAATTGCCACTGGCTTCTATTCTGAACCATATTTGATAACATCTATATCCACTGTGTTGCACCATCTATAGGATCTCGACCAGAGTCGTGAAGGACCAACAGAGGCCAGTCCCTTTCAGCTTTCTTTTATACCACGACACCACCTCTACGGTTTTTCCGACCTGTCCCAGTGTTGGAAAGTAATGCACGATGCGGAATTCTCTGAGACGACATTCGTAGGACATGTCCAAGCCACTGAACTCGATATTTCAAAATGGTGGCACTAATTGAAACATAGTCTCTCTGTCCGAACACACGATGCCGAACCTCTGCATTACTAACATGTGGTTGCTTCTGGGTGTCAGCAATCATTCAGAGATAACGATAATCAAACAGAGAGTCGTCTAACATCCTCAATTCGGAGAGGTCAGGTGTCACAAGCATAGAGTGAAACTGCTCTTAAATGATGAATACCACTGGGAAAATTATTCTTTGGGAATAATAGTTTCTTAATAACTCATTTCTTTACTCACTAAGCTTTTCCCACCAGGGGCAGCGGATTTTGTGTGGAATGAACTTGTTGAAAGAAATATGAAAACCATACGTCCTGTTTCCGCATTAACGAGTTAAGCGTTAGTTGTACAATGAACATATTCTCAACTCAGAAAATCTTACAAACAAATGGGTATTGCGATGGAATGATCACTAAGCTTGCTTTACTTATCTTGGAAATTCCATCAATTTTGGCGGATTGGTACACGAGTTCAGAAAACCCAGTTAGCGTTTGCCAATTTGCGTCGCTTGTGGTGTAGGCGAAATATCCGTCACCAAACCAAAGGGCTTTTACATTGAACAGCAGTTCACTCTTTGCTACTTTAGGGCGTGAACATGGTTTATGGAAGTAGAAGGGATGCGTAGGCTGAAGATTTTCGATCCTGAATGTCTTCAAAGCATTTCACGCGTTTCGTTGGACGATTGACTGACCAATGCTGAAGTTAGGTATAGAGTACAAGATGAAGATGGTAATTCAGTTGATGAGATTGTAAACATTCACCGATTGAGATAATGGAAACACATGTTAGGTATCCCCATCCACCACCTACCTCGGCACGGGACGTCTGGTCTAGGAGTAGGTTGAAAGAAAGCTAGGGGTTAGGGCAAATCAAGACGTGGCATCAGTCCATGAAGTTGTGGACTGTTGGTCTGGGACATTTTGTTGGATGCAGGCTATCTGATTGTGTTTTGTGCGGTAACTGCGATCAGTAGTCGGAGCTTTGTATGACATGGCTTGGGATTTTTCAGAATGGTTCAAATGTATTCCCTCTTAATCTTCCTCTCGATCTTGAATCCCAGTATTCATTTGTATGCACTTTTACATACTGCCTTTTCGAACCATATCCTCAATGTTTAGTCTTTCTCATCATTATTGCAACTGAATTATTTCGATCTCTTTAGTTGTTTTCATCTGATCGTGCTAATTAGGTATGGGAAGTTAGGTCAGTATTAATTTGTGTCTTTATCGCATACGTTTAGCGAAACTGAAAAAAAGGTCCACCGAACGACGAGATTAAGCAGCTTATGCTTTACTCTCTCCATACAGATGACTTCTTCACTGCCCTTAATAATAAGGCAGAGTGGAATAGGATTTGAAAACATTCACTCATTTATGACGTTTACTTCATATGAAAAAATAAGTCTCATTTTTAGGCAATTTATGAACAAGGAGATTAGGTGAACCACTAAAAAGAAGTGTGCATATAAAACGTACATTAGTTAACCTGTATACCCATTTTAAAATTCTTGACCTCTGTGGTATTAAAAAGAGCTTAGTGAAGTGTCTGACACAGTACCATGCATATTTGTTGTGACAAAAAAATCAAGGGAAAGCTGTTAATTATTCCCAACCTAGTTTTATTTGATATGTGGGATTTATCCAGTGACATGGAGTTTGAACCAAGGGCAAGTCAATAAAATTTATCGTTCATTTTTAAATATTCTGATTATTATTTTTCGTAATAATTACTTGGTTTATGCTTTTTTCCTCTTTACAGGTGTTCCTGAGGAAAACATACTATCTATAACGGTAATTAGTTTGTTATCTAAAATTTAATGTGTTAGAAATCATGTAAGCCCTCTGTTGATCCTGTATATAAACCGACCCCTATCAGTGTTTTGGAAAAACGTACTGAAAATTCACAAAACTACCTTGATATTGAGTGTAATAAGAATGCCACTTGTGTGCAAAGTGTTTATGAAGAACCCATTCCTGTTTATCAACCAACTCCAATAAGTGAATTGGAAAAATATGCGCCTAATTCCTTGTCTGATTATGGATTTTCTAAGGGATTTATACCACAAGATCAGCCATCATACTCTCCTGTGGTCAAGATAAAAACAATACCTTCGCCTTCTCCATTTTCATATCAGCCTTCTCCTTCGGTTACAGAATCATCTGCCTCTTCGTATGCTAAAGAAGTTATTAACATTAACGTAGACTCGGATGAGGATACTCCTTCTCCGACTGTTGCTCAGGATAATCCTGGTGACTTACGAACTGTATCTGTGGCTAAAGGTGTTCAAAATTCACGAAATGATAAGCTGAAAACTCATGGATCACCTATACATAGTGTAAAATCAAAGCGTAAAGTGAAGGTTTTCAAAAACAAAGAAGTAACCATTCCCAATGAACTAAATGTCACAAAGACTAGTGACGAAAAGTCTGTGGATAGTACAGACAAGGATAATGAAGATGACAGCAATTGCACACTTTCTAAACGTCAAAAAATCTTATCTCTTTATCAAGACTTATACGGTGATATTGATAACGATAGCTCGATAGATAAAAACAGTCTTCCCAAGAATGCTTCAAAGTCTGCTACGCTTATTCCACCGTACATGAGTCCAGTTTTTAAAAAGCCTGAGACGGCAAGTATAGATAAGAAGAGCGATAATGTAAGTCTAAAGTATTTGTTTAGAAATCCGTTTATATGCTGCTTATTGTAATGGCTTTTTCAGCACTTATGATTTCTGTAAATTAACTAATGCAGTATTATCTAAGTTAGATCGTCTTAATATTTTGCTACTATTTGCTCAAACTACGAGCTTCTGTGACAATGGGTAATACGTACTCTTTTTTACCGACAGGTAAAACAATGTTTTTCGCACAAGCCAATGGCTACCTGGACTCTATAGCCAAGTGGATGATGAGATGGTATTTGAGGTGAAATTTATTGGATTCGAGTCCCAACGTGAGCATCGACTCTGAGATCCAGGTACATCCAGCTAACGATTTCAAAATAGGAAGAAACGAGCGTCCTGGATTCTACTGCTAGCCACCATCCATATAGTTAAATTTTCACGATTTTGGTGCTGAAATTATTAGGCCAACCTTTTTTACACTTACTAGATGTCACTAGTCACTTTCTTCACTGTAACAAGTGGCTAATGATTTTTCCCGACTACTGAAGATGCGAGTGAACTACCGGTGCTCAGATATAATAGGTTCAGGTTGAATATTTCTGGAAGGGTTTGTTTACAATAAACGTGATTCCAGTTATAAATATCGTGTAACTTCAGGTGGAATTTCCGGAAAAGCTATAAAATATTGGTTACCACAGATCACGTAAATGATCTATAAATACTTAGTCTGTGTTAAGTACATTTATATCATGTTAATTAACAAATTCCCAACATTTCTAGAGTCGTTTACTTCTGAATATATTTTTGTGATAATCAAACTATGTTAATTATAATTCGTTTACTAAATACAGATTCGCGCACTGCTTAATTTCAAGCCACACTATATACGGGCTAGTGATGTTACGTGGTTGTCCAAACTGAGTTAGATAAAAATGTGGTCCAAATCTACTACCCAATAATTGATTATTAACCACTAATTTACCGTGAAAATAAACTTAATTGAAGTTTTTATCTGTTGAATTTACTTTGCTACCTTAGAAATCGAGTACAGTTTGTTTTCGAAACAGAAAGTCCCCATATAAATAGCCAGAGTAGTGTGAAGACTATGTTAACTATAAGATGGTTATTGGGGACAATTTAACGCGGTTATCGTGTCGATTTACATAACTATGGCTCAATGGTGTGGGCACTCTTCTTTCAGTCATGGGACCTTCAAATTCTAATGTTGCTCCGAATACTATAAATTCAGTGACTCAAGTGTCTTTAATCTTTACACAACAAACTTATAATTTAGTAAATAATCATGTACATTATTGTGGACTGTTGTTATTAGAGTAGTTTATGATTGTCTATAAATGGGCTTTTTTTTAAGCTAACGTAGATGTTCAAACACTAGTAAAGAATCATATTTTCAACTGAAAACAAATTCATTTGACCCCATGTTTTATATACTGTCTAACGTTTTATGCGTTTATGTTTTCTACCGCATTGTCTTCAAACGTTAGGTTATTGCTTCAGGAAATGTACAACATGAATATGTTACAAGACCTCGTATTCCACTACGCAAAAGTGACAAAATTCCCATGCCAATTAGAACTCGCTATTTGGACCAATTTATTGAAGAGTGCCTTTTAATATATGACCATCCCTCTGATGCATACAAGCGTGTAGGTTTAACTTGCCTTAAAAACTGCGTACGATTGTTTGTTTCTAACAGGTTTACATTTTCATTAGGTTTTTTTTGAGTTATGCGATATTCTTTAAGTTTGATCATTTAACATACTGCTGTTAGTTATATCCTCCGATTTGACTGTTATGCCCTGATAATTACCCTTAGTTGTAATACCTGTATTATTGTGGTTACTCAGATCTATTTTCATTGTTTTATTTAGTTTGCTTACCTGTGTGTGCTATAATGTCCTAAGATTGGATAGATAGACTTCCCCTTAGACACCATTACAATTTCTGATTAAATTCTCAACCTTTTACTCTCTGGGTTGCAACATTAGTGATATTTGACTATATGATTTTATATTTGTATCAGATTACAAAATTTAATTGTCATTATACATCAACCTATGCCTTTTCTTTTGCAACAACTATCAAATAATTGATAGCTTACAGGTAAATGTCAATTTAAATATTGATGACTAATTACAAACCTACTGAATATACACACGCTCTTTACTCTTTATTTTACTTCTGTTATTCTCTTTTCTGATACTTATGTGCTTCATTGTTTATGAAATCGAGTTTAAATTATCGCAGTAAGCTATTGTTTTACTAGAGTCATCACGAATGCTCTGGTCATATGTATCACCTCGCTATGGAACCCCAGCGTGCTTAAAACTAGTAATGAATCTAGCTCAAATGCATGGTTTTTATAAATCAAAAAGTTCTTCAACCATCTCTTTACTTTGCCGAGAATTTGATATTGTATCAAATATATAACATTGAATAAAACCAATGTTACTATCCTTCTTATTATTTTGAATCGGTGAACAAGCCTAGTAAATATTCAAATGGGATTTGGTGCATATATCCTTCATAAACATACAGTACGGTATACCCTAAATGTATTTATTTGTGGATGATTAAAAAATATGATTGTTATTTCTACTTCGACTGAGTAACGATAGTAGTGTGGTGTATGTTACTTATGTTGACAGATCTAAGTAGCATGTAGCATCAATCGGAAGTGGAATGTATATCAGCAGAAGATCGAGTAGATTCGATTGAAGAAAACAGAAAGTAATTGTAATAACAACAGAACTGGAAGAATGATGAAGCATGTAAGGGACAACTGACAGAAGATGTGCAAATTATGTATTTAATGTATCGTTTTCATATTTTACGTAAGCACTCTGTAACTATGCATTAAACAATAAATTGGCTTCCCCACTTAAGTGTTCGTTCAATACAGTGCCAGTTAGTATAATGTAATACTATCTCGTTTGAGGTGTTTTGTCCCTCGTAAGTATCTTAGTTACTTTTGATGCTACATTAATTGTAATTTGTCATAAAACTCAAAAAATCATGTTTAATCTATTTTTCAAGGTTTTCACTAACTCTTATTAATTAATACATGGATTATTAGTTTTCAAAATTAAACATTATGCTGACGGATTTGTTTATGTGGTAGATAAGTTAGGTACATTGACAAATTTAATTTAATCATTTAAACTTTAACTTCAATAATACAGCAACATTTTAATTTAACTGTATACAGCATCAGTCTTCAATGTACGTGTAGTGAACCAGAACTCAGTTGGGGACAACTAATTTATTGTTTACTGTAAAATTACAGAGTTCTTTCTTAAAATATGAAAACCATACTATATTTATTTATTTGAACACATAAATGTTGGTACAAGAGGGCACCAAATATATATGCGACACACAAAACAATGAGAATTCGAAGAGAAAAAAAGAACAATAACGAACAGATTAGTGTAAGGTGGTTTAATAATAATAATAACAAGAAGAACAATGGTAATGATAGGGGAGAAGGAAAGATACAATCAGAAGAAATCTTTCAGTTAAGGAAGATACAACCACTTTATAAAAAAAAGTAAAAGAAGGTTACAGCAGGATCGCCACTGGCTTCTATTCTGAGCCATATCTGATGACGTCTCTAGCCACTGTGTAGCACCATCTCTCAGACCCCAACCAGGGAGTCGTGAAGGACCGACAGAAACCAGTCCTTTGCAGCTTTCTTTCATACCACGACACCATGTCATGCACTGACCACCTCTCCGCTTCTTCCAACCAGTCCCAGAGTCGGCAAATAATGCACGACGTGGAATCCTCTGGGACGAAATTCGGAGAACATGTCCAAGCCACCGAAGTCGGTGTTTCAAGATGGTGACACCAATTGAATTATCGTCTCTGTGCCTGAACAAATGATGGCGAACCTCTGCATTACTAACATGGTGTTGCCACTGGATGTCAGCAATCCTTCGGAGACAACGATGATCAAACACAGAGAGTCGTCTAACATCCTCAACTCGGAGAGGCCAAGTTTCACAATCATAGAGCGAAACTGCACTCATCGACGTGTTGTAGATCCGACCCTTTACAGCCAGACTGACATGACGAATGCGCCAAAGATGGCCCAGATTGGCATAAGCCGCTCTGGCTTTCATTATACGTGCATTGACCTCATCACTCACGCCACCACCAGCACTTATATAGCTACCTAAATACATGAACTTCTCGACTACTTCTATTTGCTCACCATCTAGGGTGAGCACAGGATTAGAATCCTGCCAGTCTTGTAGAAGTACTTTGCATTTCGAAGGTGCAAAGCACATATCACACCTACGGACACTGATTGCCAACTGATTAAGTGCGGATTGCATGGCTTGAGCATTATCGCACAGTAAGACAATATCATCCGCATACTCAAGGTCGAGAAGTCTTTCTCCAGGCAACAGATCCACACCACTATTACTTACATTCATCAGAGCTGTTTCCAGAATGTCATCGATGGCAAAGTTGAAGAGGAATGGTGAGATTGGGCAACCCTGCCTAACCCCACTGCTCGAATGGAACAATGGAGAGAGGTGGTTGTATGCCCTCACTCTGCCTGAGGTGTTTGTATATAGGGCTTTCAGGATGTTAATAAACTTCTCAGGCACACCCTTCTTCAATAGACAATCCCAGAGAACAGTCCTGTCCAACGAATCGAAGGCAGCCCTAATGTCAAGAAACACTACGATTGTTGGCCTGTGATAAGTATGACGGTGTTCTAACATTTGGCGGAGGGTGAAGATATGATCAATACATCGTCGACCAGAACAAAACCCAGCCTGCTCCTCGGGAGTCAATCTTTCTCGGGTTTTGAACAACCTACGAAGTATGACAGAAGCCAATAGTTTGGACCACATCGGAAGTAGACCTATACCCCGATAGTTGTTGCAGTAAGGACGTGAACCCTTCTTAAAGATAGGGATAACTATCGACTCGTTCCAGGACGTTGGAACACTCTCTAGTTCCCAGACCTTTGTAAACAACACAGTCAGTTCCTTAGTCAGAAAGTCACCACCATCTTTAAAAAGAGCCGGAGGTAAGTCATCTGGGCCCGGTGATTTGTAGCACTTCAAGAGTTGGAGTCTCTTGCGGATTTCCGCCTCCTTTGGTGGATCAGTCGTTACCGGCCATGGAGGGCAGGACAGTCTGACCGATGTTGCCGGAGCAACAGGCCAGTTGGACTGCCCTTCGAAGAATTCTACCCATCGTCCAAGACGTCGATGGATGTTAGTGATTGGCATCCCATCATCCTCGCAGATTGTTTCGCTCACACCAGACTTCTTGCTGCCAGTGGCTCGGATGAGTTGGAAGAGCTTCCTGTAGTTACCAGATGCAGCTGCTGCTTCCAGCTCATTAGTACGCTCCGACCACCAGGCTTCTCGGCGCTCACGCAAGCTTTGCCCAATTTCATTACGTAACATCCTTCGTTTATGGTCAAACTCACGGTCACCCAGAGTAGACCGACGGGCTTCAATGAGTTGCAAGGAACCAGAAGAAACGCAGTGCTGATAAGCGGGACGTTTCGCGAACCCACAAGTGACTTTACTCGCCATTTTCATGGCGTCTTGCAATTGCAACCAATGCTCATCTATACTTTTCGGTGGAATGATAGCTAGCCTAGAAGCTAGCTCGATTCGATACTTACTTGCAACAGGAGTTGCAACCAACTTGCTGACATCAATGCTTTGGTGGCGGTCACTTCGTTGTCCACTGAAAAGTAAGGTGAGATTGGCGCAGACCAAGGCATGGTCAGAGTCCAGATAGGCACTCCAAAAGGAGCGGCAGTGTCGTACACAACCACGCCAGCGGTAGCTGATTGCGATGTGATCAATCTGAGTCCAGGCTTGAGATGCAGAGGGAGGACGCCAGGTGGCACATCGCCCCCTGAATGCCCTGGTACGGCCGAGAGTGGGGAGAGTCCGTTCTCCCTATCGAAATACTCTCACACGACCACGCGTATACAGCCTCTGCCAGGGAAGTCCTACTCATTGCCTTCTCGTGGCGGGGGTGTTGTTTACGAAAATGAGAGGACGAAAAACGAATGTTCGGCGCTTTAACCGGATTCCAAATCAATGGTGCACATGAGCTCCAGTATCCTGAGGGAACAAATGGCGTATGAACCAATCGTTGGTCACCGGCTACCATGAGACTGCATCTCCTTACGATGCTCCACTGCCTTGTGGGTTAGACCTTAAGGTCGAAGGCTCGGGGAGTGGCCCCCTAAGAAAACCACCTGCTTCGGTTTGGGCACCCGGGCAGTATCACAGCCCACACACGAATTGATGAACTCTTTATGCCTATGGAAATTACCTTTCTTGCTTTGAAAAACAAACAATTGATTCAGATTATTATCATTACAATTATTGTCATTATTAATACTACTATTATTATTACTACTATTATTGTCATTATTATTATTATTATTATTATTATTATTATTATTATTATTTCCCACATTATTCACCCTCTTTTATACTTATACAGCGGCTCGTCTTTGGTGGAAATTCGACTGTATCTAAACGTTCTCGAGTCACTGTCCGATTGAAAATTGTATGTTACCACCGAATACGAGGACTGAAGCAGTTTTTCTGAAACCACGTGCACCATTCAAACTGGCTGCCTTCAACGTTCGCACATTTATGCAGGTCGGACAACAGATAGGGCTGGCTATGTCTTTGGAAAGTCTTAATATTGATGTTTGTTGTCTATCCGAGACCCGTATTCAAGACTCTAGCGAAGTACTACAAATTCGCTCTACATCTGTCACTTCAAAAAGCTTGTTTTACGTGCGCTTATCCGGGGACCCTGTGGCATCTTCGTCTGGTCTTGCAGGCGTTGGTGTCGCACTAAGCGCTAGAGCTGAGGCAGCACTAGTCGATTGGATCCCCATTAACAGTCGGTTATGTGCTGTTAGATTAGAAAGTTCCATCAAAGTGAGAAGAAATCGGCGTGACAAACGATGTCTTTTCGTCATCTCCGCCTATGCCCCGACAGATTGCAGCCCGGATGCATTATTTGCCGACTCTGGGACTGGTTGGAAGAAGCGGAGAGGTGGTCAGTGCATGACATGGTGTCGTGGTATGAAAGAAAGCTGCAAAGGACTGGTTTCTGTCGGTCCTTCACGACTCCCTGGTTGGGGTCTGAGAGATGGTGCTACACAGTGGCTAGAGACGTTATCAGATATGGCTCAGAATAGAAGCCAGTGGCGATCCTGCTGTAACCTTCTTTTACTTTCTTCATAAAAAGTGGTTGTGTCTCCTTTACCTGAAAGATTTCTTCTTATTGTACCTTTTCGTTCCGTCGTTACTACCACACTACCTTACTCCAATCTCTTCGTCATTGTTCTATTTTTCTTTTGCGCTCTTTAGTTTTTTTTTCTATTTCTCTTCGAATTCTCATTGTTTTGTGTGGCGCATATATATTGGCGCTCTCTTGTACTAATATTCATGTGTTCAAATAAATAAATAATAAAGGTGGCACATCGGCGATGACTGTGCCGAAAGTTAGTGCTAGCCAGAAACATGTTGTGGTCTGTGCACAGTTGCAGTAGACAGTCCCTGTTATTTCACCCGCGACCAACAATTTCCCATCGACCACCCAAACGACTCTCTTCTGTGTCTGGACGCCCGACCTGGGCATTCAAGTCTCCGGCTAGTACTACAATATCTGTCGAACGCACTTTCTGGAGAAGAACAGATAACTGGTGGTAAAACTCATCCTTGATTGCATCCGGGCTGCAATCTGTCGGGGCATAGGCGGAGATGACGAAAAGACATCGTTTGTCACGCCGATTTCTTCTCACTTTGATGGAACTTTCTAATCTAACAGCACATAACCGACTGTTAATAGGGATCCAATCGACTAGTGCTGCCTCAGCTCTAGCGCTTAGTGCGACACCAACGCCTGCAAGACCAGACGAAGATGCCACAGGGTCCCCGGATAAGCGCACGTAAAACAAGCTTTTTGAAGTGACAGATGTAGAGCGAATTTGTAGTACTTCGCTAGAGTCTTGAATACGGGTCTCGGATAGACAACAAACATCAATATTAAGACTTTCCAAAGACATAGCCAGCCCTATCTGTTGTCCGACCTGCATAAATGTGCGAACGTTGAAGGCAGCCAGTTTGAATGGTGCACGTGGTTTCAGAAAAACTGCTTCAGTCCTCGTATTCGGTGGTAACATACAATTTTCAATCGGACAGTGACTCGAGAACGTTTGGATAGGACCGAGTTTCCACCATTAGCGAGCTGCTGTATAAGTCGAAAAATAAGGATAGACAGTGGGAATAAAAGAGAGTGAATGAATGACGTAGTAAATAATAATAATAATAATAATAATAATAATAATAATAATAATAATAATAATAATAATAATAATAACGTGAATCGTCTGACTGGTAATCGAAGCAAGTATAGTATTTTTCGTAAGTATTGTCATTTCATTCTGTTTGTGTGTGGGCTGTGATACTGCCCGGGTCTACAGACCAAAACAGGTGGTTTTCTTAGGGGACCACACCCGAGCCTTCGACCTTAAGGTCCGCCTCACAAGGCAGTGGAGCATCGTGAGGAGATGCAGTCTCATGGTAGCCGGTGACCAACGATTGGTTCATACGCCATTTGTTCCCTCAGGATACTGGAGCCCATGTGCACCATTGATTTGGGATTCGGTTGAAGCCACGGACATTCGCTTTTCGTTCTCTCATTTTCGTAAACAACACCCCCGCCACGAGAAGGCAATGAGTAGGACTTCCCTGGCAGAGGCTGTATACGCGTGGTCGTGTGAGAGCATTCCGAGAGGAAGGGCGGGCCCATCCTACTCTCGGCCATACCAGGTCATTTGGGGGCTACCATACACTAAATGTTTCATGTGCAAATCTCCCATCAATTGTCCTGTATATCATTTATGAATCTTCCAGTTCACAATTCCTTTCTGTTTTCTTCAGTACAATCTTCTCAACCTTGTTTTGACAAGCATTTATCTTCTGAGTGGTGTTATGTACTACTTATGTCTGTCGACGTAAGTAGAATACACTACTTATGTCTTATATGTTCGTTACCCTGATATCCAACATTTATTGGTCAATAACTCAGGACATTTTAATAAATAGCTCTTACTTTGTATAATTTGCTAGTAAGCTAGAAAATTTAGAAAGTTATCATGATGGTCAGCTGCATAGTTCTCATCGCAGTATATTTTAAATCAAATGTCAATATTATTATTATTATTATTATTATTGATGTTGTTTAGGCTCTTGAAGATGAACAAGCTTGTCATGAAAAAGCAGGTAGTCGAATGGCATATTTAAATGCTGTAATCCAACGGCTAAAATGTCTGAAAGCAGAAAAAAAATCCATACAATTAGGTGAAAAATCGAAAATTTCATCCAATCTGACGGTAGTTACACGTCCTGCAATCACTAGTTCACATTTATCTGCTTATGATTCAAATAATAATGCTAAGAAAGATGATGCTGAGGAAAAACTTGACCGTTTAGTTAAAGGTAATTTATTTTTTACTCCCTATTAATTCTGTTCCTTTAATTCATTTCGACTTTAGAAAATGTCAGTTATGTATTTTAGTATTGTTTCTTGTCCCTTTCGATAATTATTGGACATTTCATCAGTAGTTGTCGAATGATTATTCTTCAATTTAAGCTAAACTTGAGCTTAATTATTGAAATATTAATTTTTTTATAGTTTACATTCTAAATGTACATTTAACTGAGATTTAATGCACAACTCACCTACACATTCATCATTGGTCACTTTGATCTAATAAAGTAGTTGATCATCTATCATTTATTATTTATCGTATTCAAAACTTGATCTGTAATAATTGTGATTCATAAACATTCTGTTGGTTTTTTATACTTTATCTATTGCTTAGGTACTGAATGACAAAAAATGAATTGAACACCATATTAAGTTAATCTAGGTTGCTTGGCAAATCAATACATTTTGCTCTCAAAAATGTTTATGTAATAGGCAAGTTCATAAGCCTATCTAGATAATTGTAGCTGACATATAATAGAACTAATAACCATTCAGATCTATAGATTATCACATCAGAAGTAAAGCGTTGGCTTGGAGATTAAAGCACTCGGATTTCTAAAAGTGGATCGTAGATCCAAACGTCGTTCTACGTACTTTATTTTATATAGCCAAGTGGTATTACTAACCACTGCACAGTTTGACTTGAATTGGTCTACGTAAAAATATGGTCGAAATACAGGTTTGAACCCTGCCTCACGTATTTGCATACGTCAGACCCACATACATTAGAGGGATGTGTAACCTTCACTTGGTTCCTGAGTTAAGTTGACTCATCAATACTGACATTCCTTCTATATTATTGTCTCTGATGACAGCATTTCCCACTTGTTACTTGTACAGTACATTTAGAATGTTACAAACGTGACCATTGTTGTCAAATAAATGTGCGAAATAAATGATTAAAAATGGGTATTTACAACAATCGCTATGTATATGTAGGATGGCCTTTAATCTGTCAAACAGTATAGTGGTCTTGGGCTGTACTTAAAAAACATGTATCTAGAAAAAATAAATAATATATTTGTAATATCCCAATGAGTAAAAAAATTAGATTTTCTGACGTTTCGTGGCTTAGTGTAAGTCACTTCTTCAGAGATTAAATAACAATCTACCCAATGCACAATTTATTCGAAACTATCAAATCAAACCTTGGTAATGATACCTACAAACTCATGTATCTAGAACGTTTACTGACATCATGGAAGGTCTATGCGTTTTGAAGACGTACAACCACATTTTTTATAGTTCTAAATCAGTTTTTTGTTGTATTAAGATTTTATGCTATAAAAGTTACTTTTTCATTAGTAACCATAGTAATATTAATGACGATAATAATAACAATAATAATACAACTAACCCATTCACCAAGTAACGTGTATGAGCGTCACTTAGTGTGAAGGTCAATAGTATTACCTGCTTGCCCAAACTGTAGGTGGAGTCGGGGTTCGAACCAGCAACTAAATCCCAGGTTTAAACCCCAACTCACCTACCTCACATTGGGCCACTAAGTAGTACTATCAGCTCACACTTAGAATTTCATTCCTACCCAAGTACTTGGTAAATGAGTGTTTTCTCAACGGTAATGTAAATAATATTAAGCACTGTGTGTATATTTTTTCCACATATAAATTTCCATATCTTTACAGTTCTTTTCTTTATTCATGAGTAGTTTTTGATCATGTTTACGTTCTTCTTTTTGTTTGAAAAAGTAACTTTTCTTTTTTAAAGGACCTCTTCTGTATAGTCAATTAACATCTTATTTATTATCGGAGGAAGATTTGTTAGCAAATGGTTATCCTCTCGAATTAGTAGAAAATGACACAATTATTCGTGGGAAGGCTGCTCTGTGTTTACCAGAAAATAAGAGTCAGTTATATGGTAATTGTCAATGTAAGTTAGTTAACATATTGTGAATTACAGTTATTATTTGGATGGTTAACTCAATGTTCACTTTTTAAACATTGTCTATGTGTTCTATGTGGTTTAATGCATATGATTAAACCATTTTAAAGAAAGGATATTTTGCTGTTGTTGTATATTCATCGTATGGTTCGATGTCAACTTTTTAAAATATTGTGGTACATGCATATTACTTTTTTTTTCTGATAACATTTTAATCTATATCCATTCGAGCTCTACAGAATAACCTTAATCAATATTACATTATTTTGAGTTTGGTAAATTATTATTTTTTTCAAAGCATATCATGTTGCACGTATTCAAGTTGTTTACTATATTTAACTAGATTTTAATTGGAACTGTCATAATTATCTGAATATGACTTGTCTGTTAAACATACTGATCGTCGGTATATTAGTTGGTCAGCGTAACTAGTCAGTATCTTTTCAAATCTGTAGTGATGATTAGATTATATCGTCTTTGTTTACACTATGAGAATCAGGCTAAATGACCTAATAATTCCGGTACAGTTTGTCTTGATGTTAGATGATCAGATAGGGTCAATACAAAGTTTAATTTAGGTTTTTTGTAGTAGTTGGTTATCATTAACATGTTGTATCTCAAATGTTAGGCGAATTAATGCTGTCTTAGAGATTTGAACTTGGGCCAGAAGTTAAGCGTTCGCGCGCGAGACCGAAGGTCCTGGGTTCGAATTCCGCGTGTTGGATCATGGGTGCTCACTTCTGTAGAATCCTATACTAGGAAGAAATGACCTTGCACTGCTTCCAGGTTTTCAATGGTGATGTAGTTTAGATCGGTTTATGGTTTCAATAAAATTCAACAATCTCCACAACCCCTTACTGTATATCTGTTACTAGTTATATTCATTCAAGAATTCGAACTAGTTTGTGTTTGTATCTGATATATTTACGGAATTATTCAATGTTTCATTGAATAGCAACAATTTTAGCGGTACTCATAAAAGACGGACGCATTGATTTGATGGTGAAATGAATAAATGAACAAAGCGAAGTTCACCAAACGATGGGTTCAAATGAATGTATTAGCTGTTTAAATTATTATAGACTGAATCATGTACCAACACTTATTGTATCATTTAACCTCCCATATTACAATCTTGCTTATCAGTCAACTTGTTTCGAATAAGGTTTTAAATAATTAACGAATTCGCCTTTAAAAATTAGTTTTAAATATTAAAAAATTGCTTGCGTATTCAAAATCTTTTAAAGATGATCTCCATACAATTTGGATTATACTATATAAAATGTATTTTTGCTAAATTTTATGAAAGATATGTTTTTTGAACAAATTTTTTTCTATCAATTTTCAGTAGTTTTAAATGATCATAAAACATTTTCGCTTTTATTCGATAGCTAACGAACGAGTATGTTGTCGTTGTGGTACACGATTTCTTGTTGATGAATATGGATACTCTTTAACTCAGGGCGAATGCATTTACCATTGGGGTAAAGCTGTGAAACAACGAAGTAAGTAGCTTAGGATATATATATATATATATATATATATCAGTTTCTAATTGTTTAGTTTGAAGTTCGGTTTCATGTTATAATCTGGTATTACTTATCCATTGTTATTAAATTTCCGAGTATTGGGGGAATCACCTCAACTCTATTTTCTTTGGATTAAACTAATAAGTAGTGTTTATTTGTCACTAATTCAATAAATACATCCTAATTCTGTGTGTAGTAGTTACGTATTTTTGAATTATGTTATCATTGGGACCATCGAGTAAGTAACGCGGTTGTTAGGAAACGGGTACTAGGTAAGGATGGCAAATCCATTGATGAAGTAGTGAAATTTCATCATTTGAGATGGCTGGGACACGTGTTACGTATGCCCAACCACCGACTGCCTCGACGTGCGATGTTCAGTGGTATAGGAGTAGGTTGGAAGAAAGATAGGGGCGGCCAGACCAAAACATGGCACAAGTCCATGAAGTCACTGACAAGTGGTCTGAGTCATGTTGGTAGGTGTAGACTACCTGGTTGGGGACCGCAACCGATGGTTAGAGACCCTGAATGACATGGCTCAAAATTGTCTGCAATGGCGCGGGCGCATCTACTCTTTGTGTTCTCCCAAATTCTAATCTTCTGATTCCTCCTTGTCTCTTTTTTTTCTCTTCCCAAATTTATTTCACTGGATTATACTCTTTAAATAACATCTCCAAACTCTAATCTTTCCGATTACTGCTTATTCTCTTACTACCTCTTCCACTACGGGATTCGAATCGGCAACTGCATCTTTGTGCTAATGCGGTATGGCAACTCGAACTGATGTACGTACGTACGAAGTTCTACGTTGTTACTAACTGACTATCATTGGTAGTATAACTCAACCGTATTGCCAAATTCTCTACTTGTTTGCTGAAGTTTGTGTATTATATCGAACTACATTTTAAAGCAATTAGAAATTACGATTCATAAACAATTATTATCTTAATAGTTTACTTCGGTAACTAAACTATAAGCATGATTTCTGTTTGTTATATTATATATTTAAATTAGTCATTGGGAAATTGAAATATCAAGATCCATAATTACATTGTGTGATCTGTTTTGAGATAACTCTTCAAATTAACAAGTGGTAAATGTATGTGACTAATAAAATAGTCTGGAAGTTTTGGCGATTTTCTCTTTCAATTAAAATTCTTCATTCTACTTGTATTACTGTACATCCAATTTTAAGTTTGAGAAATAGATAGAATCAAGAATCCTTTGATTAGTTCACTGTTCTTTTTATATCGTGTTTCATATTTCATAATCTAACCATATTATCAGTCACTAGATATTTATATTGGATGTAAAATGCTAATTGAACATTTCACAATGTGATTATCAAAAATATATGTACTCATGTTTGTCATTTAACAATAATACCTACTAATGTTGCAATATTAGTAATTCCTGGAAATGTGGACTCATGTCTGTTCAGTTTTGGAATTAATGATGTCAGTGCGTTGTTCTCTCTCCTTTCCCATTTAATCATTGAGGCCTCAACTGGCAGAGAAAATATGAGTATCTTCAAGGTTCTAAATGAGTTTTTGGTAAATTCTCATAAACCACACCTAGATAGATCTGTTACTTATTGTTTTCATTTGACTGTGGTATACTATATACGCATAGCATCATTTTACTATTTAGCCAAATTAGACTCATAGTTTAGTTCTCTCAGTTAAAAAATGTTATATTTAGTCTCTTTAAATACTTATTCTTTGCTTTCTGCGGAAACATAGATTATTTACCATCGAAATGTTTAGTTACATATGTATATTCTGTAATTAAGTGTATTTCTTTTCATAGCTTGGTTCCATTTTCTTTCGTCTACCTGTAATAATTTGATACGTATCGTGTGATTGACTACCTAATGATTATTTGATTAATAGCGTCGCATAAAATAATTTAAACAATAACTCAAGATGCAAACTGATTTTTGTGAGACTGTTAAAGTTATGCATTTTTTATCATTATTATCCTTAATATAAATATTTGACATCTATGAACAATTTAACAACTATTGATTCTAGTTTCTTTTCCAATTATGAAAGAGGTTCTAAAAAAGTGCATGAGGCGCCCTAGCACTTTTTAAAACTGTAAAATATCGAAACCAGTGACGGAAATTAAAACCTTACTTCATACAAGACATACAAATCTCTTTCAAATACTACATTTTTAACAAACCAAACCCCTCCACCTAAACTAACACCTATAGTTCGGTTGTAGTTGGTAAGCTTGTCATTTCTAAGGACTAAGTTATCATACTGATATTACTACTGAAAAGCGTTGTTCGAGGCAGATTTTCTGTAGATATGTATGAAGTTAAGAGAAAAAGCGGGGGATACCCAAGATATGTTTTGTCGAGTTACATTGTGTTACCAATCCTGCCTTCTTTAGCTGCCTGTGTATTGAAAACGATCAAAGTCGATCACTCTTTTTAAAAATTGATTGTTAACAGATTTATAGCGAACAAGATAACACTTCTTAGGAAGCTAGATACTGAACAAAGTACTTGTAAATGGTGTATGTATTTATACTAAGATAGACTGATCTCGACATAAATGCGTGGTTGATAATCTTGTCTAGGTAAATAATAATCCGCAACTTGAATCTAACTTACTATCTAACCTTGAGTCGTTACGTTAATCAATATCAGTAAAAGATTTCACTTTTTCCGTAGAAATTCTAAGAATCCCAGATCTGTGGAACAATGTTGTTATCCGCGAACATTTGTTTTTCAAACTTGTATAATCAATATACAAATATAACACTTCTATATGTGGTTATTTTGATGGGTATATGACTACTAACATTTTCTGTTTGTCAAGTTCGTCTAGAACTAATGGGATTGTCTTCATGTCTGTACTATATGGTTTTGTTAAAATAAATGAATCTTCAGGGATTTGTTTAAAGTCAATTGGTTAAGAATGTGAATCGGTATTTCCCCCTATATAGTGCAATTATGCTTGCGATTTAATCGGTTGGTTGGAACTAGTACATACTAATAACCCATTCGACTTAACACTCATTATCTTTATTTTAATATTTATCTATTTGATTCGACTTTCTAAAAATCACTAATTCCAAGATTATGTACTGATTTTTATTTTAAAAAACCCCATTGCATGAATAATATATTTCAAACATATGTAGTTTCTATACAGGCAGACCAGACCACATCACAGTTGTACTAGATCAAGAGGAAAGTGACTGTCAATGTGAGACACTGTAACTAATAGATTACGAATACATTAAGAATAGTGAATCGTATAATAGAAACCAATAGGTCAAATGAGAGTTTATGATAAAAGAAATATATTTTTTATGAAATATCAATTTCGGCCAAGTAACTAGCGACATCTAGTCGTTTTTAGTTATTTCAACACATCAATTACAATTGATTGAAAAATATCTTGCATTTATTCAGCTGTTTAATGATTACCAGCACAATTTGTGCATTTATTTTTTGACTACTTCTGATAGTTTTTCTTCGACTAACTGTATACTGTAGTAGTTACCTTTAATTGAACCTGCGAACTTGATCTTTCCTGTTAATTGTAGTAGTTTTAACCTTAGCCGCATACCTTCATAAAAATGATTTGGTAATATGCTCTCATATATTTCTATACAGTTGATTTTTATAATAGGTTAATTTTATGATTTGATCACTCTGACATTGTCCACCAATTCAATTTTATATGACCCTACATCCATTGGTGTTAGGTCAATAGATTGGATAATGCTGTGACTTCAGATTTCCTCTTTCTACAGAGTTTTGTTCATTCATTCATTTTTTCCTATTTCTAATTGTCCCTATGAGTTTAATACATAATAATATGGATATTTTTTGTTGCTTTTAATTGAATGTTATTGTATTTCCTCTCTATGATATTATATATTTTCACTTATTAAGTACATAATTTTATTAGTAATAAACAAACTTAATATTTCAAAATGACAATGATAATGTTATTCAAAGTTGAAACATTAGGTAGTATTATCATAGGACTAAACTAATAAATATAACGTTTCAATGTTGTTTATAAATAAACGGAATACACCCATTATGACATTAAATAAGAAAGAAAGATTAGTTCAGCGAAGAGTTCTCTTTTCGGCGAATTCATTTTCAAAGCTGTACAATCGCAAATATATATACTTATTTTTACAGGGTGATGATAATACTGATAATAAACTTCTGTTATACATGGTGACAGTGAGGTTAAATAAACAAAGGTATTAAAAATTTTTTTTAGGCAAGGAAAGTTTAATAATCGTTTGATAGTTAATAGCTGATGTATTCACTGGGTAAGGATGGCTAAGCATGATAAAATAAAATGTTGAAACAGAGATGAAATGTAATCGGAATGATCGTGGAAATAAAAACAAACCGGTTGAGGGTAGAAGATTTGAAGGGAAGATGGAAGGTGAAGCAGGTGGCTGTAAGGGAACAAGAGTATGAAGAAAGAAAAAAATTTTTTTTTAATACATTAAGACCATGGTAGAAGAAGAGGTTGTACCAGTCTCTTTTGTACACATAATTCTGGTTTTTCAAAATGTATGGCTATTGCCTCGGCAATGCAAAAAGGATGCAGTCGCATTGTCTTATGAAGGCTTCTACTTACCTTGTAGATGACTTTGAACGCAGAGTCTGTCTTGATTGAGTGACCTGTGTTCACAAGGTGTTCGATTATAGAACTTCTTATTGAGCCGTTGCCTCCTCTTTTTAGCCACGCCGGACAATGTTCTTGAATTCTTTTGGATAAAATACGCATCGAACAATCTATATATTATTCTCCAGCCGATCACTGTTCACCAATAATCTGAAAGATAAATTATCGCATCTGACCAACTCAATGTGTATTTACCAATTTACCTGCTCTTGTGGAGCTAGGTATTAGGTAGTATTGCCATAGGACTAAACTAATAAATATAACGTTTCAATGTTGTTTGTTAATGTAGAACTTTTAGAAAACCATTTGAAAATCTATTAATCTTAAAAGTAATTTTCATACTTTTGTTTTTCACTCAATAATTATTATTTATTTATTTTTCTAAATATTTACAGTATCTTTTAGTAAGTTCTATGTATTTAATATATACATATTTTACTTTAGATCAAAATACTATCACGACTTCATGTCATCTTTTCAAAATTTGTGATATTAAATATACATTTTATTAAGATTTATGATTGTCACTATGGATCTAATATATCTCACTTCACTTCTAATGAGATGGCGGTTTATTGGCTAAAATTATTGATGTTCAACCACTGAATTTCAAGTTTTAATCTTTCCATGCCTACTTATAGTCTAGACAGCCAAATGGAGTATGATATTTGTTATCATAGATAATTATGACTCAAAGTCCCAGTGCACAAGCTTTTACTAGGTAAATAGAATCACTTTACCTTACTTCACTTCTCATACATGTTCATATTTTGTGTGTATATGACTTCACTGTTTCTGTTCTCCTTACAGGTTTTGGTCAAGGATTTGATTTACGATATTTATGTTGTAATGGTGATATTGGTCAACCAGGCTGTCAAATCTGTCCTAAAGGTCATGTTCACGATGCTAATAAATGGTTAGATAATGAAGGTTTTGTTATTACATTGCCACCACTTCCAAAATCACAAGAATATGATGAAGATAATGACAATAATTCAAGTTGTAATGTGTACGCTCTTGATTGTGAAATGGTTTATACAACTGGTGGTTGTGAACTAGCTAGAATTACTATTATCAATCCAAAACTTCAAGTTATTCTCGATGAATTTGTTTGTCCAGACAATCCAATTATTGACTGTAATTCACGTTTTTCTGGTTTAAAATTAGAAGATATAGAACAGGCAAAATATCATATTACTGATATTCAAGCAAAATTATTGCATTTATTCGATTCGGATACAATATTAATTGGTCATAGTTTAGAAAGTGATTTAACTGCCCTTAAATTGATACATAAGAAAATTGTCGATACTTCTATTGTATTTCCGCATCGTTTAGGTTTACCAAAGAAACGAGCTTTAAGGAATTTAGTTAGTGAAATACTTCAACAAATTATACAACAAGATGGTAAGTAGGTTTATTGGTTTATGTGTTTGTTAAAAATGCAACGGATAACATAAATCTTATTAATTTTAGCTCGTTCTTAATCTGCTTTACGTTAATATGTTTATTATAACGATGAGTCTTTTTTCATTTTCTTTAAAATAAACACTAGATACCGTCCTTTGGTATGAATACACTTCACTATCATTAAACTACTGAGGTTTACTGTGACCATTGACACATTTGGGCCGACAACAATTAATTATTTTTATGCAACACCCGTTATAAATTTTTATTCCGATTGATCTTTGATGCAGCTTTCCTCTAGTTCGAACTTAGAAAGCAAATATAAATTTTGTTATACACTTATTCATTATGACTCAAAACCCATGATATTATACATCATACACCTGGACACAGCAATTATAATGTGTGAGTGACCATGCCATAAGTGAAGGAAAATTAAGTTATGGGTTTGTAAACAATGAATACTAACTTAGGGAAGTGTGATGTTTGTGTATAATAATCATTGCTGTATATATTATTGATCTCTGAATTAAAATTACAATATGGTACCATACACTACTATCACCGTACTCTATCTTACTTAAGTGCTGGTCTATTTATGACTAAAGTGTGTATTGAACAGACTTGTGAATTACCAGTTCATACATTTTATTTATTGCTACCATTTGTATTTACCGTAGGAAAGTAAGACATTTAACAATAGTTTATGCATCAACCGAAGTCATACAATATGGGGAATATAAAAATACGATAACTGAAAGAAAATTTAATAACTATAAATTAAAATAATAAAAGTACTCCCCGTAGGATCAAATTATATTTGAAATGGATTGGAATATCCGATTGTTGATATTTTGAATGAAATTCGGTCAGTTTCGGTTGGCATTTATCTGTTCTATATCACCCTATGTCATAATGACTGTTGAGGCCAATCCGCACAGGATGCCTATACGCCAAGACTGAACAAAATTTCAGACAAAATACCAACAATAGGATAACCTAGGCCATTTCAGATTAAATTAAATTTCACACCGGTCACACAAGTTGATGGTAGTCACTAGCTAATTGGTTAGAGCGACGCCGCTTGAAACAAACGGTCGAATCCTGTGATAAACATCAACCTTAGGATACAGGTACTTCCAGCTGGCAAGTCCCAGATACGGCGAAACGCACGTCATGAATTCCCGAAGAATAACCCTTCCTAAATCCATTCGGATATAATAATAGCGATAAAGTTTCGAATGAAATTATGATTCAAGTATATGGTGTATTGTATTTACAAAGTGAGGTATCTTGATTTTTATTTATTAGACAATTGTAGGTACATATTTTATGGTATTAATGTAAATAATTTATTTTCGTTACTTTTAATGAAGAGAATGGTCACAACAGTATGGAGGATGCTGTTGCCTGCATGCAACTTGTTCAACACAAAGTCAAAGAAGATTTACGTTGTGGAAAGTGGAATTTTCCTTAATAAAATTTATCTGTGATTATACAATCAAATATAAACATTTTTTGTTTAATCCAATTTTCTTATTACCTTTCAAAAGACTTATGCACTGAACTTTTCTATAAAAAAAGACTTACTAATTACATTTGTTATTGTAAATATTCACTATGATAAGCCTGTAGTTAGGAAAATATAAATACTGATTTCATACTTGAAATTGGAATTATCCTTTCCATTCCTCATTGTTCTTCTCTTTTTGTTTTGTACTCTTCAGGTCGATTTACACTGTGATCGCTAATAATTAGGTGAATACTATTTGATTAGTTTATTTTGTTACATCGTTTAACAAAATTTATTAGTTCTAACCAAAAAAGTGAGTTATCACGTCTTTGATAGTGAAATGTAACCTTAGACAATACTTTATTGAAACTATAATTAGTTTATTTGATGCTATAACAGCTCGATTGATCGGTAAGATTATCGGAATGTATAGGATTACTGAATGGATGTTTTTTCACAGGAGAAGGGTGTTATAAAAACTGTTTATATTCAAAATATCTAATATAGTATGAATTAATCGTTATTTAAATAAATAATCTAGGATGAATATTTTAAAACAATCAGCGCTTGTTCACTTTTGTCTGTCTTTAAAGACCCATTTTGATATATACAATTCAAGATAGATATTACTCCGATTATTAGTTTGTCAAGGCTAGGTTGTTGTACATTTGAAGTCAATCATCTTTAATTTATGGAACTAAATCTACGAGATCCTAGTGTTACGTAAGATTTGACTTTCATCATTAGGCATTACACTTGAATGTTGTCTGAAAAAAACGTGTATCTACTTGATTATAACAGTTGTTTAGTGTACTCTTTTTAGTCGAAGATGATATTATTTGAAAATTTGGCCCAAGTACTCAAATTTCCTGTTTTTGTTAACATAAACCGACATTTAGGTAAGTAGTATTTGGCAAAAGTCATTTTATGTAATGATATGAATAATAATGTTCACAGCGGAACTTAATATAGCGAAGTTCATCAGTTTCTCTGTGTTAATAGCCTTTTTTAAAATAAATCCACTTGTGTGACCCATCAACCAATGTTTTGTTGATAATAACATTTCGTCCTTACGATGCTCTGTAACCCGATAGGCCAATTGACTAATCAGTAGGTCGTTTCCTTCAAAAAACTTTATCCCTCGTCGATGTAGTAAATATATAAAACCGGTGTATTACGGAGAATTATAAGTGTAGGAAAGTTCGAAAGAAAATAACAAGAAATGGTATGTTTGACTGCGAACGCAGGTGAATTGACGCCTTCGATTACTGAAACTTGAACAAGCTAGTCACGAGAGCTTTGCTTTGCATAAACGACCAATTTACACCATTTTGGTTTAATGTTATACGTAATTCTAAATAAATATTTTAGTGACGTGATCAGATGAATTCACTTGTTCAGGAGTATTACTGTTAATTTATTTATATAACTTATATTAGCTGGTTGATGAGTCTCCAGATTTCTAATTATTGATATCACGTACCTCCAACCACCGTCTAACTCAACCAACAATGTCTGGGATAAGAGAAGGTTGAAAGACAGGAGCAACAAAACAAGAACAGGATCAATCTACAAAATCATTATGCCACCCCAAGTCATTTTTACCTTACCGGGTTCATCGAGACCAGTGGCTGGAAACTTTGAGTGACGTGGTTAAAATTGGTTACAGAAGCTTTCACTCTCTATCTTACCTTAAGTTTTGTCTCAGTGTCATTTCCTTTCTTTATTTTCTTGTTTTATCCATTCTTTTCGGACAATCTTTCTACTACCATTGATACTACTATAACTTTGGAAACTTTACAACTCATCTCGCTATGTTGGTGTGACTTGGCAACTTAAGTCGATGCTTGTTTATTGTGTTGGTTAGGACTGATTGGCCGGGTAAATTCAATTTCGTCCAAGTAAATTTCGAACTGCTATTTCTGACTCCGTAGAAGGATTCTAATAGTTTAGGATAAAATAAACGTTCATAAGAAGTTAACAGACCATGCATAGTCCGTATCAATGCATGTGAAGTTATATTTGATCGTACCAGTAATCAGCAAATGTGTAAAGGCTGATAAAACACAGAGGAGAGACAATATGAGGGCACTGAATATTGATAAGTGAGAGGATTATTATGATTATAGGAACGGATTTGGACTGAAGGCATATGAATTAACAGTAAATGCGATTTTCTCGGTACCTTACCCCCTACTGAACTGTGGAATATGAAAAAAACAGCACCTGACCTGTGGATTATTATTCACCAAAAGTACCACTATATACATTTTAAATATAGAATTCTGACAACCAGCGGAACAAAAAGCCATCCGAAAAAGGCAGGAAATACGCAAATATACAATCACCGCGACAGACTAATATAGTGTCCATTAATAAGACTAAACATGATACAAACAGGCCGAAAGTAGTTTACATGACTTAAAAATCGGCAAGACTTCAGCCAAATTCCCAAGGGTATACTGAACGAGGCCATTACAAACTGCAGAAAGTCCACATGGACAGAGCAGTATTCTAGTCGCCATATTTCTTAACCTAGTGCCATACAAACTAGGCTTGATGGATGATCTATTCTATATAATCAAATCTCGACCGTTGTTGCTACGTTGACGTGGTGGTCGGGCTTGTCTGTCGTTGTGAAACAAACCGAGCTATACTGGCTTGAACAACCGTTCCTCAAGGTCCTACCATGCCAGACAGGTCGACTGAAGAGCGGTAAGCCTAAAAGCAACAAACCTAAGGTCCGAAGGCGTACTGCTGACTGTACAGAGGTGTGACAGAAGTAAGGTGTTTCCTTCAGACAACCAGCATGACAGTGATGCTGCCTTCCCACAAGGAGAGGTGAGGGGTGGAAAAGGTCGACCCTAAAAATGCACACCTCACCTTATCCCACGGATATCCGTCTCCGGCGGTAAGGTCTCAACAAATATAGAGCTAACACAAAAACTACTCATAAAAAGGTTGTGTGTGACCGACCTCAACAGTTATTCCTTCGGCACCGCGGTCACGCTCTCAGGTCACCAAGATCACCTCTAATCCTATTTTGTTTTCAGGCACCTCCAGAAGGACCCTCCCACGGTGTGGGCGACCGGGAATTGAAAACCGCCTTGGTACGGTCGAGAGTGGGGGAGTACGCTCTCTCTCTCGAAATGCTCTCACATGGTCACGTGTATATAGCCTCTGCTAGGGAAGTCCTACTCACTGCCTTCTCGTGGCGGGGGTGTTGTTTACGAAATTGAGAGAAAGAAAAGCGAATGTCCGGTGCTTTAACCGGGTTGGTGGACATGGAGATTCCACCTAGGGAGTTGAAAAACCCTGGTTCCAAACCAATGGTGCACATGGGTTCCAGTATCATGAAGGAACAAATGGCGTATGAACCCATTGTTGGTCACCGGCTACCATGGGACTGCATCTCCTTACGATGCTCCACTGCCTTGTGGATCAGACCTTCAGGTCGAAGGCTCGGTGAGTGGCCCCCTAGGAAAACCACCTGCTTCAGTTCGGGCACCCGGGCATTATCACAGCCCTCACACATATCAAATGGGATTTATGTGGCGCATATGTATTTTGTGCCTCCTTGTACCGATATCTATGTCTCCGAAACACGCATACAGAACCCTTGAGTGGTCAGTCACCTGACCTCACCTCGGCAAAACGGAGAGCCGACGAGATACAACCTACGTGTATCTGGCGACTCGATGGCTAGTTTCTCGTGGATTTGCAGGTGTAGGCATAGCACTAAGCATGAGGGTGGAACAAGCACTATTAGAGTGGATCCCTGTGATGTTCGGCTAAACGGCTCCGTAAGAACTCGGAAAGATAGGGACACACGTCGTTGCCTTTTCGTCGTTTCTGCCTACCCTCCCACTGACTGCAGCTCGGATGAAGTGAAAGATGAATTTTACAGAAAGCTCTATGAACTTCTTCAGAAAGTTGAACGTTCAGACATTGTACTCGTAGCAGTTGACTTTAATTCCAAGGTAGGTGGGGATTTTGGTATTCCGGCTCAGCGAACAGATAATGATGATCGTCTGCTGCAACTGTGCTCAGACAGTCGTTTGTTTTTAGCAAACACAAATTTTAAGCATAAGGAGAGACATCGTCTAACATAGCGACCTACTGCACCAAACCACGATGGACTCAAATAGACCATATTGCCATCAGTCATCGTTAGAGAGAGTCGATAGAAGATTGTCGCTCATTCTGGAGTACCTGCTTGGACTCCGACCATGCCCTAATACGGACACGCATCTGCTTGTGCCTCACTGGACGCGAAAAAGCCACAGTAAAAAAACCCATTAGAACTGAATTGAGTAGCGAGAAAACCAAAAGTAGGTTCCGGGAACAACTGAGGTCACAATTAGGTAGTTCTGAAGACGAGGCTGACCCAGATGTTGCTTGGAAAGACATACAAACAGCTGTGGAAACAGCAGTGACATATACTAGTGATTTAAACCACAAGGCTACAAAGAACCAGTGGATTTCTTCAAGGTCTATTGCACTGATGGATTCTCGTAAACTCATCCCATCAGGCTCTGAACACGATGGAGAGCGAAAACAAATCAGATCTGGGTTAAGCAAAGTCTAAGAAACGACCGTAAGCAGTGGTAGGCAACGAAAGAAAAAGAGATGGAAAAGGCGGCGGCTATAGGGAACACAAGACAGCTCTACAGACTAATAAAAGGAACTGGGACTAAAGTCAGGTGTAAAAGAAACTATCTCGGAAAAAGACGATACTCATCAGGCGTTTAGAACGATAGGCGAGACATTTTGGAGAACAGTTCAGCTGGCCTTCAGCTACTCTACAACTACCCACCATTCCCAGACAGCCTAAATGGAACATTTAAGTAGGTCCCGCAACTCGAGCTGAAGCTCAAAAGGCTATAGCTAATCTGAAACGAGAAAGAGCAGCTGGTCTAGACGGATTGGCTCCATAGGTCTTTAATTATGATGGTCCAATTTTAGCGATTAGGTTGACTAATATTTTAGCTAGAATCTGGGAGTTGGACGTTATCCCATCTGACTAGTCACAATCACTTATCGTCCCAATATATAAGAAGGGGGTCAAAATCATCCTGTGACCACCATAGAGGGATTAGTTTGACTAATATAGCATCTAAAATACTAGCGTCGATGATTATTGGACGCCTAACTAATACTCGTGAACTGCAAACACGAGAAAATTAGGCTGGCTTCAGACCTGGTAGTGGCTGCATCGACCACATATTCACCATTCGTCAGGTTCTAGAACACAGACATACTTATCGGCATCCGAAAATTATAGTTTTCCTTGACTTGAAAGCAGCATTTAACTCTGTAGACCGAGAGGTTCTGTGGCAGTTTCTGTCATTTAAAGGTGTACCTCAGAAGTAAATAAACTTTGTGAAGGCTCCTTACTCGAACACTACTAGTCGAATGAGAGCTTATGGCGAACTGTCGTCTGCTTTTGCAACCACAAGTGGTGTCCGTCAAGACTGTCCACCATCCCCATTCTTGTTTAGTTCCATCATAGACATACTGATGGAAATAACGCTCTCATCGACTCAATTTTCGGTCATTGATCTCATACCATGAGGTTCACTTATCGGCTTAGAATACGCAGGTGATATAGTCCTGTTTGGTGAAGACGCTGATAAAATGCATAGTCTTCTGGTATCACTGAGCAACAATGCCAGAATGTTTGGAATGCGCTTCTCTCCCTCTAAATACAAGTTGTTGCTCCAGGACTGGTCTGCGTCAACACCTGAATTATGGTAAGTCAGTTGATGAGATTGTGAATCTTAACCTACTGAGATGGTCGGGCCACATGTTACGTATGTCTGAACACCGATTGCTACGACGCGCAAGCTGACTGGTGTTGGAGATGGTTGGAAGAAAGTTAGGGGTGGCCAAACCGAAACATGGCATCAGTGCTTGAAGTCACTAACTTCTAGTCTGAGCCATGTTGGTAGATGCAATCTACTTGGTTGGAGTCCGCGTGACTATCGTAACCAATGGTTGGATACTCGGAGTGATATGGCTCAGAATCCATCACAATGGCGTAGGTGTATACACTCTCTGTATTCCCTTAAACTATGAGATCAAAACCGCTTCATATCTTTCGTTCTACGTACGAAATCTTTCTTCCTGTACTATATCCTTATATTCAATCTTTCTTTTACATATTACCACCATTGACTTAACTACTCCTATGAATTCGGTGTTCATCTTGCTGTGTTAATGCGGTATGGCAACTTGGACCGATGCATATATGTGCCTGGTCCTACGTTGTAGCTGACTGATTGACATAATCAAATGCGGATGAAACAACAAAAAAGCCACTTCAAGTAAAAAATAATGCGGCTTAGTAGATATCTGTTAAGACTTATGGGCCGTAAAATTTGAGATCTAGTGCATTTATCTTACATTGAAGAGGCCAGATAATGTGACCCGACTTAGCTACTATACAACTCCGCTTACAACTGAACAACCCAGCTATGAAGGAGACGACTAAAACTACAGGATTTTGTGTTGCTCGAATCTGAATAATATTACGACACACGCTTATTTATGGGTGGCCGGACTAATTAAGATAACGACTAGGCGAATAATCTACTTACAATAAATCCCTTACTCTTGAGACATGTGAATTCTCTAGTTAAGCTAAACATAACACCCAAACACTATATAGGTGACTAGGTTATATCAGACTGTGTTAATCAGTTTATGTGCGTATAGAGACACGTCGAGTGGAGAAATCGTAATATCCTATACGTGATGACTGAATATGTACCTAAACGGTAGGAAAACTAATGAATAAATTGTAAATTTGATAGGATCCTTGTCTATTGCAAACTTGTTTAATAAGTGTATTTGACGACAATGTATAACATGAGAGAAAGGATAGCATCAAACTATCATTATGAATCATGGGATTTTCTTAGACTGTTTTAACGTGTTGAATCTAACCAAAACGTACCCGGCAGGCAAACTAATATTGTATAAAATATGTTTAGTCACTTAATCAAATGTCGATAAACACTCATTTTATATTACCGCCAACTGTGTTTATAAGTACTTGCCAAAACAGCTATATTGGTCGAACAGAAAGGGGGCCATATCTTACATTTTTGAATACGTTTCAAGTCTTTGAACAAGAGGGAACTACTTTAAACAGCACAATTACCAAACATCTGTTGGATAAAGGACATAAACTCGATACTTTGCAATCCTTCAAAATGATCCGTAAACAGTCAAGCTCTAGTTTATTAAAACCGTTGCTAACGGGCGTCACAAACCTGATTTAAGCGTTCGAAAGATTTAAACCTTTCTTAGCTTTTGTAACATGAAAATTATGTTTAATCTTCCTTCAACCAATTACGTACATTGTCTGTTTATTCCGTCTGTCTTCTAAGCTAGTGATCTTATCTTTATAGACTGAGCTTTACTCACTTTATTCTTACGTATTATCAGCGTTTACGCGTTACGTTTCTAGCTCTTTGGACTTTTGTTAATATCTATGTCGTAGAATTTTCTTTCCCATAATATGTATATTCACAGTTGTTATAATTTCTCTTATTACGACGCAGCTATTCTTATTGCTTAGTATTCTTGGACACCAAATCACTCGACAAGTCCCCAAATCACAATACGGTTGATCAGGAACGAAATTATATTCCAAATAACAAGGGTAGATAGAAGTAGGAATTACAATAAGAAAAACGTTAGAGTATTTATGGTTTTTCTAGAGTCTTCTCCAAGTATCCACTAGCACTGATTGGTCAAGAAATAACTAATCAGCGTGCCCCGACATAATATTGCACGGAATGTGCTTTAATTCAATTTATATTCCGCTAACAACAGTATTCTATTCAGTCTATTGAATTCATTTACACCCTTGCTATACTATAATGTCGTGTATTCAAAGTAGCTTCCAACTAAACTCTTCCATGTATGCAATTATAATTTTTAAATGTCACAGGTTGTAAGCAGACGACGACGACCAAACGAAATAAAATGAATTCATGCTATTCTGCTGAAATCTTTGTTCATGTTACCTTACAAGTACTATCGTTGACAGCAACGAATAGGTTAAATAACACAGAACAACAGAATTAGTCTGATGACACAAACACAAAACAAACATGTGAAGACGTCTAGACACACTACGGTATCATGAATACAGTCTACACATAGTACACTAAATCTTCACACACTAGGCACTGATAAAAAACTCAGAGAAAATCTGCCATCGTATCATGGAACGATAGCAAAATATGTTGGTATTCAAGTTTCTGAGACGTATTGTTTGGATGTCGTCTTGTAGAGCAGTACTAAACCGTCAACAAGTGTCTTTTTGAGAGATGATATATCAGAAAAGCAATGAAAGATCTCACAAACGAATTTTCCGGTATTCATGCATCATATGATTATGCTTTATTTTACACTGTATAATTGTCATATTACTTTGAAGATGCATCTATTGATATCTCAAATTACAGGCAACTTTTAAAAAAAGAATTGAAACAATTATTCTGAAATAGTTTGATGAAAAAATGTCGTTTGTCTAACTACAGAAATATCTATTATAAAATAGGAATGTGTCACCAGTGTTAGACAAGAGAATTTTGTTGTATTCTGAATCTGGTATATATATAGCAAAAATGGAGAGATATGAGTGGTTCAAGTGAAACATAGATGATCATGAAGGATGCATTTATCACCGAAAAATTGACATACTTCTGTTATATGTGACTGGTTGTTTTCTAAGAGGCGCAAACTGCACCGGAGTCTATACAAACAATCGCATTATCCAATTGCTGAAGTTCAGCTTCTGAAGACTTATTCACTTCAGCTCCGTCACGAATCAGCATTCGCTGCAACCGGAGTAATTCACGCCAACCAGGCAAAAAACCAGCACTTTCTTCAGTTGGTGGACCTATTGGCTCTCGTACGTGAGACACATGAATGCTATTGTTGCTAAGGCAATCCAGACGACGTAGAAGTGGTTTGCGAATGGGTTCAACTTTGTCATCAGCAACACCCTTGGAATTGGTGGTATTAGGGATACTAGAAACAAAAATCAAAATGTTGGCATATGCTCAAAAGAACCGTAAATGAAAAACGACGAATTCATGTATCCATGAATTTATACTGTGACTACATATACGCATATACAATCACGTGAATTTACAAACATTAGATAGATTACCGAACTTTGGCTCAAGTTTGTGATTCATACATCCTGTTCGCAAACAATAAAAATAACCGATTGCTTGATGAGATATCGACTACTTAGTTATTATTTGTGCCTATGACCAAACCCTTATGAAGTGATATTAATTTTTTTCATATTTTAGAGATTAAATCAGTGTGAAAATGGTTGTTGTCGCGGATCGGCATCAGGTGGGAGAACCTCTGGAAACTTTGGAGCACTGGATAATCAATTTATCTTAGTTTGAGGCAGCGCTTCAACAATGTTTACCAAGAACCGTACCCACGACTTCTAGGTCCCACAGAGAGCGCTTTATCTATAGATCACTGACATGGAATCGAGTGGTCAAGTCAAATGTAGAGCTCCTATCATCCAATGTCATAACCGAAAAAAACTATCACGTTAAATTTACTAGTGAAAGCTCTGTGCAAACCACCAATATAACCAAAACCAATAGTCTTCATGCACAGGAACTCACTGTGAGTAGAATAAATAGATTAGTTTATGGCATGGATGGCTATTGAAACTCTTATCATTTTTGTTAAGAAATTAATTTCTAATACGAAATACTCCCATTGATAAAATGACATCTCACTAACAATACTTATCATGTAATGAACACTCGATAATGTTTACATGATTTTATGGTGTCTAATCGCTTTGAAAATCAAAGCGGTAAACTGTTAGTGAATCACTGATATATATTTTTTGTGGTCACATTTGTTACTTTGCTTTTCATGAATATAATTTAGAAAACAGCAAGATCATCAATAATGAGGACAATTTGTATTGCGTACGGTGTTACAATCTCTCGTACTATGACCCAGTTAGTCTTATTGCTTAGTATTCTTCATACACTTTACTTCACTAGGTAAGTTCCTAAATCAGAAAACAGTTGAAGAGGAACATAATTATATTTCAAATAAAAAAGGTTGAATAGAAGTAGGAATTACAATGAGAAAAACGTCAGTATATTTATAATCTTCACACAAGATTCTAGAGTCTTTCCCAAGTATCCCCTGGTGCTGATTAGCTAAGAAATGGCCAGTCAGCGTTCCCTGACACGATTCTGTACGGAACATGCTTTAATGCAATCTATAATATCCCACTAACAATACATCAATAACAAATAATTCATATATCACTAATGCCTCATTTGACCATAATTAGTGTATTTTTCGGCAACCTCATTTACTTGTAGACTCAGGTTATGTGTCAGGTTAAGGAAATCTGACAACCGATATCTAAATATAATAGAATTTTCGCGAGGGATCTGTTTCAAAAAAGATTATTTACGCAGAAATTTGACTACTTTGAAGTACTTTTTCAAGCTCTGAGAAGAAATGCATCTTTTTAAGCTTATGTAGTAGCTAACGCTGAAGCTAATCGAAGCAAATACGGATAAGTGCGTATAATATCATTTGAATGCTTAGTTTTTTTAACAATCTTGATTTGAGCAGGCGGTCGAAGATCAACAAGCTTCGCACAAGTGACCGCAAAGAAATGAACCAGTAACTCGTCACGGAGTTGCCTGAATAAGTTGATAAGCAGTACTTACTATAAAACATGATTTGCGATAAACGAAAAGATATGACAGTTAGGGGAACTTACGTCTTATGTTCAGGTTGGTTTTTATTCAGTTTTTTATTGCCATGACCTTGTATATAAAAAAAATAATTACGATAATTTAACAGTAAGTGAAAGTATAATTATCGACAAAAACAGCTTTCGAAATAGAGCAGAACGGAACCATATTCATAAGCAATGTACCGACTTGTGAAATGTATCGAATCAAGTTACTACACCACACTGGGATTAAATTACCAAGATGTATATTGGGGCAGTAGAAACAGTAGTATCAGTGATAGTTAAGAAATTAGGCATAGATAGTATACTTTCAAAAGCATGAATTCAGACAATAAAAAAGAAGTATAAGATAATTCCAAACCTCAAAAGTCAAATGAAGACAAGGAGTAGATGAATTTAGGGTACTAAATTCGACTCATAACATAGTAATACAATATCTTATTTATTATTTATTTGAACACATAAATATTGGTACAATAGGGCACCAGAGATATATGCGCCACACAATAACAATGAGAATGGGAAAAGAAAAAAGATGTAAGGTGAAGGAAAAGAGAACAATAACGACCACAGATTAGTGTAAGGTAGTGTATTAATAATAATAATAACAATGGGGGAAACAGAAAGGTACAACCAGAAATAATTCTTTTAGTTAAGGAAGTTACAACCACTTTATAAAAAAAAGTAAAAGAAGGTTACAGCAGGATCGCCACTAGCTTCTATTCTGAGCCATATCTGATGACGTCTCTAGACACCATGTTGCACCATCTCTCGGAACCCAGCCAGGGAGTCGTGAAGGGCCAACAGAAGCCAGCCCTTTGCAGCTTTCTTTCATACCACGACACCATGTCATGCACTGACCACCTCTCCGCTTCTTCCAGCCAGTCCCAGAGTCGGCAAATAATGCACGACGTGGAATTCTCTGAGACGACATTCGCAGAACATGTCCAAGCCACCGAAGTCGATGTTTCAAGATGGTGACACCAATTGAATTATCGTCTCTGTGCCCGAACACATGATGGCGAACCTCTGCATTACTAACATGGTGTTGCCACTGGATGTCAGCAATCCTTCGGAGACAACGATGATCAAACACAGAGAGTCGTCTAACATCCTCAACTCGGAGAGGCCAAGTTTCACAATCATAGAGCAAAACTGCACTCATCGACGCGTTGTAGATCCAACCTTTTACGGCCAGACTAACATCACGAAGGCGCCATAGATGGCCCAGATTGGCATAAGCCGCTCTGGCTTTCACTATACGTGCATTGACCTCATCACTCACACCCCCACCAGCACTTATGCAGCTACTCAGATACACGAACTTCTCGACTACGTCTATCTGCTCACCATCTAGGGTGAGTACAGGATTGGAATCCTGCCAGTCTTGTAGGAGTACTTTGCACTTCGAAGGTGCAAAGCACATATCATACCTACGGACACTGATTGCCAACTGATTAAGTGCGGATTGCATGGCTTGAGCATTATCGCACAGTAAGACAATATCATCCGCATACTCAAGGTCGAGAAGTCTTTTGAATGTTAATAAACTTCCCAAACACACCCTTATTCAATAGACAATCCCAGAGAACAGTCCTGTCCAACGAATCGAAGGCAGCCCTAATGTCAAGAAACACTACGATTGTTGGCCTGTGATAAGTATGACGGTGTTCTAACATTTGACGGAGGGTGAAGATATGATCAATACATCGTCGACCAGAACGAAACCCAGCCTGCTCCTCGGGAGTCAATCTTTCTCGGGTTTTGAACAACCTACGAAGTATGACAGAAGCCAATAGTTTGGACCAAATCGGAAGTAGACCTATACCCCGATAGTTGTTGCAGTAAGGACGTGAACCCTTCTTAAAGATAGGGATAACTATCGACTCGTTCCATGACGTTGGAACACTCTCTAGTTCCCAGACCTTTGTAAACAACACAGTCAGTTCCTTAGTCAGAAAGTCACCACCATCTTTAAAAAGAGCCGGAGGTAAGTCATCTGGGCCAGGTGATTTGTAGCACTTCAAGAGTTGGAGTCTCTTGCGGATTTCCGCCTCCTTTGGTGGATCAGTCGTTACCGGCCATGGAGGGCAGGACAGTCTGACCGATGTTGCCGGAGCAACAGGCCAGTTGGACTGCCCTTCGAAGAATTCTGCCCATCGTCCAAGACGTCGATGGATGTTAGTGATTGGCATCCCATCATCCTCGCAGATTGTTTCACTCACACCAGACTTCTTGCTGCCAGTGGCTCGGATGAGTTGGAAGAGCTTCCGGTAGTTACCAGATGCAGCTGCTGCTTCCAGCTCATTAGCACGCTCCGACCACCAGGCTTCTCGGTCCTTACGCAAGCTTTGCCCAATTTCATTACGTAACATCCTTCGTTTATGGTCAAACTCACGGTCACCCGGAGTAGACCGACGGGCTTCAATGAGTTGTAAGGAACCAGAAGAAACCCAGTGCTTAAAAGCGGGACGTTTCGCAAACCCACAACTGACTTTACTCGCCATTTTCATGGCGTCATGCAATTGCAACCAATGCTCATCTATACTTTTCGGTGGAATGGTAGCTAGCCTAGAAGCTAGCTCGGTTCGATACTTACTTGCAACAGGAGTTGCAACCAACTTGCTGACATCAATGCTTTGGTGGCGGTCACTTCGTTGTCCACTGAAAAGTAAGGTGAGATTGGCGCAGACCAAGGCATGGTCAGAGTCCAGATAGGCACTCCAAAAGGAGCGGCAGTGTCGTACACAACCACGCCAGCGGTAGCTGATCGCGATGTGATCAATCTGAGTCCAGGCTTGAGATGCAGAGGGAGGACGCCAGGTGGCACATCGGCGATGACTGTGCCGGAAGTTAGTGCTAGCCAGAAACAGGTTGTGGTCTGTGCACAGTTGCAGTAGACAGTCCCTGTTATTTCACCTGCGACCAACAATTTCCCATCGACCACCCAAACGACTCTCTTCTGTGTCTGGACGCCCGACCTGAGCATTCAAGTCTCCGGCTAGTACTACAATATCTGTCGAACGTACTTTCTGGAGAAGAACAGATAACTACCTCATTAGACATCAACCATCTATCAAAGTTGAAGATACTTCCAAGATAATTATATGCAGCAAACAGCAGTATATGGAGAAAATTCGCTTACATGGGTAAAACGATACAATCAACTTTCGCGGAAGAACAGATTATATGATTAAATTTTACCTCACAAAGGCTAATAACGTGAATTTTGAGGGTTTGTAACTGTTTTCTTGTTAAGATTGCATTTTAAAGGGTTAGGTTTAAAAAGTCAGAAGGTACATGTAAACACTAATGTGAAACGTTGTTGGAAGGTGTAATTAGTTCTAACTGAAATTTTTAAGTCTTGGAAGTACAGTCAGTACTTATTATCATTTTAATCTGGGTCGACAGCATACATCGAGTTTAGATAGGCATGATTTTTAGTAGCAGTGACAAATAAAAACATTTCCAAACTAATCAGTTTTGTTATTAAAAACTCGCTAACTACTAAATTGTGAGATGAATCTGACGTGCCCAGTGGTATAATCATGATTCCAAAGATAGTTTGTTATATTCATACTATTAATGAAAGACTAGTTTGACCTATTTTGGTGAAGAGGGTGAACACTAAACATTAGATGGTGACTTCACTAAGAGTGAGTGCAGATCGAAAATGTCTCGATCACCATTAAATTGGAAGAAACAACTTTTGATGAAGATCTAATTGCTAATAAGAAAACAACTTCTATTCGTATCTAAACATCCAGCCGACGTTAAGATTTAAGCCAAGCGCATTTATATGAGACCATCCAGATGACTGGCGAATCTATTTATCTGCATTCTACAAGAGATCTTATGGGATGTAACTGAAAATAATGAAAACAACTTCCCTATTAATTATTTGACCAAAAATCAAATACGTGACTACCAACCGCTACGTTAAAGGTCTTACTCATGACACACCCTACTGTGATTTGAATGGTTAAGGAGTGAGTTAAAAGCTGAGCAAATGAAATTGTACTGAGTACCATTAAGTGACTCAATTATGGAAAGATTTAACAGTGTACTTGTTAGCTAACCGACAATTTTTTTGTTAAAAAACGATGTCAACATCATACAAACTAAGGAACTATATTTAAAATGGAAGATTAACTTACACAAAAGGTATGCATATATTTTCCCCCAGTGAGAGCGAGATAAATTAATTGCTTTTAATGCATCAGGTCGATTAGGGAATTCAACAACAGCGCAGATTTTGACGCCGAGTTGATTATGTAGTATTTGTGAACGTTTAAGATCAGATGGTATCTTGCGGTTTGGAAACAGAACGCGCACTAAAGATGGAGGATGGCCATTTATCTGCAGGGTAAAATGAAAACAAAAGTAGGATGGTTTATGATGAACTTTACACACTGAGCTATCTTTTTTATATTAAAGGGACTATTGTGCAAGGATTAATGAGATCAAAAGCAAAAGACTTCGTATTAATCTAGACTTAGTTAAAACTTGCAAAGTCAAGAAAAGTCAGTACACGTGTCCGAATAAGGGGCTCAACCACCGAATCATTGACCAACTCAATGAGCGAGTTTCATTTTGATCCTGATGCTGGTGTCACATTTGAATCATGGTTCAAGAGATACAAAGACATCTTCCAAGTTAAGTTTTCTCATCAAGATAGCTCTTTGAAGGTGAGAATTTTACTTCGTAAACATGGAGCAGCTGAACATGAAAAGCATTCGGATCTTATCTTGCCAAAAAAACGTCGATTTTTTTTCATTATATTGTTGAGACCTGAAGGTAATTTTGTTTCATGTACATCATTTGTTAATGAGCAAAAAGAGAGTTCCAAGTTGCGTCCACATTCTGGTGAACAATTCAAGTGTCTTATCTTTGTACTAGGGCTGCAGTCATCGTCAGACTCAAGCATTCGTACTAGAATTTTAGGACGAATCGAGTTAAATCCCAATCTTACGTTGAAGGATATTACAAATGAATGTCGTCATATTGTTAATCTTAAAAATGATGCTAAAATGATTGAACGTCTATATCCTAATCCATTTGGTTAAATAAAAAATTCTCATTCAGATCGCACTATTAATGTCGCAAGGCATGATTCACGAAAATTTCCTAGCCCGAACCGAATGCATGATGTCCATGAATCTAGTTCACGTCGTTCTACAAGGCCTCCCACTAGTTGTTGGGACTGTGAGGCATGGCATTTTTCGCGTTTCTGCCTATTCAATAAACATAATTGCGCAAATGTGGAGTAACTGACCATAATAAGGGATTTCGTAAACACAGAAAACCCTTTTACTATTATCGAATACCAAAAAGGATCAATTGTGTACATGTATTGTCGAAATCTAACTCCCATTAATTACGCAAGTATTTATTCTATTAATGTTAATGATCGCATTATCACTTTGCGGTTGGACACTGCATCCGATGTTACTTTGATTTCTCGTAAAACTTGACACGAGCTCGGTTGGCCAAGCGTTTATCCTACTGACGATTGCGTAAAGAATGCATTGGGCATCCCAATCAAAATTTCTGGAATTATCAAATATACAGTAAGATCTAATGATTTAATAATTAAACCCAAATTTTATGTTGCTGATGAATCCTTCAATCTGTTGGGTCTTGATTGGGTCGCGAAGTTAAGAATGTCTGATTACCCATTTATTTTATTTTTATTTATTTGAACACATAGATAGTGGTACAAGAGGGCACCAGATACATAGGCGCCACACAAATCTCACTTCATTTGTGTGAGGGCTGTGATACTGTCCGGGCGCCCAAACCGAAGCAGGTTACCCATTTAACCTAACTTGTAATCTAGATTCAAAAATGCTCGATCAGTTATCCAATTTGTTATCAAGTATGTTTATATTCTCATATGATGCACAAATGGAGGCAATTTTCCAGGAATTTTGAAAATAACCACGAGACCAGGGCAAGACCGAAAAAAACACCAGGAATAAACCCAAATTCAGCCTCATCTAAGGGTATCTCCCGTGCTGATTCAGTGTTCGGAAGGAAGACTCCGACTTCATTTAATAGCATATTTTCAAAAAGAAAACAAGATTATAAACCCAAGGCGAAGAGAATTGAACATCAGTTTCCTAATGGGCGACATGTAATCCACAGTCGCGATAGACGACTAAATTCAGATAAAGAACCTCCTAGCTGAAACTTGCAACTAGATTATTTGATTGAGTTAGTTTGGAGCATCAGGATCAGTGCATAAGTGATGGTCAGACAGTAGGGAAACCATCAAAACGACATTTTCTTTAACGCTTTCAGTTAAATCCAAGGAGCAAGACTTATTTTTCAGGAGGAAAAGGTAATATGGAGAACCATTGATTGACCCTCTCATTAGGCTTTTTCTGATTGACCCTTTATATCACTATTTCTGTTGTTTGGTTGAGAATACGTATTCTTAAACAATGGATGATTTTAAGACAAAGACATATGGATATAAATAATCATCAGCTTGAAAAGCAGTGAACTGTGTATGGACCGAAAGCAGGTTAGTGGTGAGCTCAGATGCCCTAGAGAACTTTTGGAGGATAGGGAGACAACATCAACATAGTCTGGCACAGATGTGTGTTGGCCCACGTTTCCTATCCGATTAACACGATCAGATAAAAACAAAAGGGATCGAAATTATGTGATAGAAATGATAAAAATATGAAACACTGAGAAAATAGTTTGGAAAAACATGTAAGAAGGGATAATAAAAGTTGAAATCAGACGCTACACAGCGGATGCATTTGCGCCATTATGGGGGATTGAGCCATGCTAACTAGTCTCCAACCACTGATCAATTACCTGGTCAACCCCAATCAGGCAGTCTGAATCTACTAGCATAGCTCAGACTACAGGGTAGCTAGAAAATTGTTGGTAACCATAAGGAGGACGCCTTTCTTACTGGATACGAATTACCACTGGCTAAAGTGGGTTTTTTTCATATGAATTATGATGCTTAAAAGTGACTTTACACATGACACATTTGACCAGGTTAGAACATCTTAGAGGACACAGCAAGGATGTTTAAAAGCCAAGAGTGAACTATCTCTGAAGTACATGGTTACCGATAGTTTGACCAACTTTTAGCCAATGTACTATACTTCTACATGAACATGGGCTTTACAGAGTATATAGGTGTCTACGAGTCAAAAGTGATCAACGTCGATATCAGCAAAGCTTTCCTTAATGTTCTACGCACTAAGCTTTACCGAAGCTGGAAAACTCAGAAATCTTCCCGTGCCTGGTTAGTTAGGTTGAAGACAGTTTTGTTAGTTGCTGAGAGTACGAATCAATCAGTTGGTTTACACAGGCCCACTGGAGTTCAAATTGATATATTGTGTACAGATACAAGTCTCTGTTCACGTGGCTAGTTAAGCATCCTGAAAAGTACAGAGGACCGCTAGACGCGCTGATCGAACGCTTAAGAAGTCATGTCTTTTCGACTGAATCTTCATGGTGGAATTTACCAAGCAAAAAACCATGCCAAAAAGGTGATAAAAGATCCTTCGTCTCCTTTCAAAACACCTAATTAGATTCGCGTTAAACGCAAGCCTAAAAGAAATACCCGGAAACTAAAGGTATAACTGCAGACTGATCTGTTCTGAACATCTAGGCGCCTACCTAAAAGCATTGGTGATCCACTGTTACTAAGTACACAATCTCGTTAAGCGAAAGCTTCTGCCCCATTCACAACCATCCTAATAAGCCTGAATTTGCCGATGATAACGACTGAATTTTATCGATACAATCACTGTCAAAATTCAGAGAAACAAAAGGTGTTGGCTTACCGTGAAGAACTCCTGAATACTCTCCACTGTGACGTTCGAATTTTCTGGGAATTCCGACAATATGATGGTACGGTAGTAAACGGACTTATCCCATACGGGCAAAGGATCAATGCGTCGAATTGTGTTCCCATCTTCTGACACCTCAATTTTAGTTGAAGCTGCCAGTGACTGACGAATAACGCTAAGGTCCGTCGTCAAAGACTGGAGTTTTTTAAAACCTGCAATTACAGAGAGATCCACCCATCCCTCCTTTGATGACTTGACTAAGTTTAGAAGGAATTGGTCTTTTAGAATATTTGCATCCGAAAAATAGAATTCACATTGTTTGACAATCTTTTCATTCATGAGCTCTGATTTCGGCTCATTGCATACAGCAATATTTTCTTTGTCCTGCAGTACCGAATAATCTGAAAACTCACTGGGACTCAACTCCATCAGGTGGCGTCAGGCACGGGAGAAAGGCAACACTTCAGGGGTGTCGTCCACTGAAGAAGGTTGCGAGCACTTGAAGGTCAAGCTGTCGCAAGATGATTGGTGCGTCACACCGACAATTCGTGAAGTTTTTCAGAAGGGGTCAGATCAATACATTTTCAGATTTTAATTGAGTTCAGCCACACCATATCTGATAACGTCCATTCTTCAAGTAACAAAGACGATGCCATCGTGATGATGCATGATATAGGACGAATCTTCAATGATATTATGTTATCTCGAAGATTTACAAGTTGGGACAATTTTGAGACCTGTTTGAAAGAAGTACATAAGGTAATATGACTTCTGTGGTTAATAATTGTTCTTTTAGTATACGCATACTAAGTACGTTATGTCCGTATGTAAAAAGAACAGTTATGTCCCAACTCTAAAGTATTTTTTCGTGAGATATGCCTGTACATATGGACGTCAACGCAGTTCATCAGAGCCAGATGCTTGTGTTCAGAGTGTAGATGATGATAGTGATCATCATTCTTCCGAACAGCATACAACTTATAACTCGCCACCACAACCTAGACAAAGAAGATGACGTCGGTCATCTATGTATGCTTAACTTCAAATGAATTTATTTTTCAGGTCGAAATATTGCCATTGTCGATCTGGATTTTGGGTCCGTGCAGTAAATGGTGAGCTGAAAGTCACCTCTATTAAGACCGTGCACGTCAAGTGAACGCTTATATTTAAGAACGTTTCTATTGAGTAATACGCCAACTCGTAGCTTACGGAATCTGGTTTCTTGGAAGTTGCATAAACAGCTTACTAAGGGCGATACCGCCAAAATGCGTTGACAGTTGTACCCAGGTTGTTGAACTCACATTGTAATAAATTGAGTTTAGACACTGAAAATATCAATGACATTTTACAGCTCGTTCAAGCAAACACTGAAGTTGAAGTACTCGATGAACATGAGAACACATCTATGATTTGCCTCAGTCGCAGGGAGCTAATAGCTGTTTACCACGCGTTCCCAGAGGTAGTATGTATTGATTCGACTTATCAAACCAACAATGATGGGTTAGCAACGAATATTAATAAATCTAACTTAAAGTTTTCCACTGCTCCAGCTAGTGGTGACTGATAGTATTGGGCAAGGGCACACTGTTATGCATTCTATTTGCAAGCAAGAACGACGCGAAGATATCGTAAAACCACTGAAATGCTTTAAAGACATAATATGTGGTACTTATGACACACGCATTTTCGTCATGGATTAGGCAGCGACCGAAATTTCAGCAGTGCAGTCTACGCACAGTCATTCTAACATAGTACTTTGTTCATTCCATGTCTCAGGAGCATTTTTCAGGAAGGTATATGTGAGCTGTACAAATTATTTTCTGTAGTTCCGAAATCCTGATGTACGAAAATGCTAGGAACACTTGCAGTGGTATTGAACAATAACCACACAATCCACAAAGCTGAACACGAGACTACTTGGGTAATAGATATTCAATATTTAACGCGGAGAAATACCGAACGATGGAGAAGGCGCGAACAAAAAATTGAATTGTAGTTGGTCGAATGGCATGGCTCGGCCATGCAGGCGTGGTCCCTACTGAATGTTACCTTATATCTTTTATTCATATTAAATATATTATTCTTCTCTAGCCTAAGCTTGTTCTACACCACTTACTGGTGATTGTTACGATACGACGAGTTGGTGTAGACGATGGTATGACTTCTACGTAAGATCTTGCAGATTAGGCAGTTATATCATGACAATTCTACAATTTTAGGATTAAGTCTATTATTAGCGCAGTACTAATATCATAGTAGACCATAATTCTACACACCTTGTGAAGACTAGACGGTCTGACATGTGAGCTTTGCTTTTCATAACGCACCATATTCATATTTATTCAGAAGTACGAACAACGGCACGGTATAAACGTCAGAGCCGTTCGAAGCAGCCCGCCCTTTCCTCTCGACGACCTTGAACGGCCTGACTAGAGGCGGTCATTCCGTATTTCAATTGCCGTGGGTGTGTTGGGTCGTATGAGAAATGTTTTTTTCATATTTGAGTCACCTTTGGCTGTGTGAAAAAGCACAAAATAACTGCCAACAGCATTAATTTAGCATTCTCTGTTTTGTGGTGTACACGTTAGCTCTGTTGTTGCTTCGCAACTTGATCTGTGATCCAACTGCTATAGTAACCATAAGTTTCATAAGCTTCATACTATTCTGAAAACAACAAATCAGTCTTGAGACAAACAATTTAACTTTGTTATCAGTATAAAATTCATTGGGTTAATCAAACAGCAGGTAACACAATGTACCTATAAGTCTCATTTGTAAACAGTGCTATTCATTAGAGATTTCGGATTCCGTTAATAGAAATTCATTGGTAATCTTTATAAGAGACACATCACAAATTAGTGTTATTTAAAAATTGCTGAAGTTACTATGATCACAACATAAAGGCATCGTTCGACTTATGAGAAAAATGTGACTAATTAGTGTGGCAAAAAGGAAATATGAGTGCAATATATTTGTGATTTAGCTTCGATTGCTCGTTCACTTTTGGTCACGTGAATTCTTTTGGACTTATGCCGAGTCAGTCTGTAGTGCAGTAGGAATTCAAGAATTAACTCATTAATAATTGTTACTTGATTCTAGGGTTGTGTCGTATCAAGGACATGGAGCTCCAAATCCCCATCATATAACTGTGAACGCTTCACAGTCTTATGACATTTGTTTATACCAAGTTTATGATGTAAATGAAATGTTAAGGGTTTCACAGTTCATAATGCCTTAACACTTTGATTTCAGTATATTTATGAGTTCAATAGCAGGTGGCGAATAACCTATAAGTTTCTTATTTCATGTAAACAGCGCTCTTCATTTTCTAAAGTTTCTAGTATTTCACCTAGACATTTGGTATAAACAAAAAAATTGGTAAGCACAATTTAGATATTACTCGACAATATGCATTATAACTTTGTTCATAATTTGGTCAGTGATTGTTTACAGAAACTTATTCGTAAACCCTATAACAAACACATCATAAATCAGTATTAACTACGACATGATTTTTTCACCATGCTGAGAAGAAACACACATCGTTCTACTTATGAAGAATTTGTGACTGCCTAATGTGGCACTTCCAGTGATGTTATACACTGTTGCTATATACGTTCATAAAGCGGATGAAAAAGACTATCAACCTCAATTGTTACTCACATAATTCTTCTCAGATACGTTAAGCAATAATAAGTCACTTCAGTACAAAACGATTATACTTATAATGGATATAACTGTTTATGGCTAAATATTAGCAAAATATATAAAACATATAAATAGTTTAATGCTTAATTGCTTCAACCTACATTTTATAAACAACTGCCAACATCCATGTTCATAATCATCATAATCAAGGAGGTGAACCAGGTGTAATAGGTTTTAAAGCTTATTTTCCTGAAAACTCAATTTGTGATCTATTTTTTGAATTGAAAAACGGTGAATTTTACTTGCTTGAGTATGTATTGTTACAAATAACCATGTTAGGTTTACTAAAGTTTCACTTAGGTGGTGAGCAACAAATACGTCAAACTACTAATAAATTGGTATAAAAACTATGTAACAAGCACAAACATTACGGAAATTGACGTGTGATGGAAAAAAAGGCTGTTAATAGCTGATAAATAACGACACAAAAAATCCACGACAATATGTAACATGTGCGCGAAAACCCCTGGCTTACCCCAGTACCCGTGCCATGGTATCCACTCCGCCAAATTTGGAAGACCCGCCCAGTGCGGGGACTCAATACTATTAAGCAACTTCGAACCTCGGAATTTACAACGCGGAAATAACGGGATATTATTCAGTTTGGATCTGGGTATGTGTTGTTGAAAATAGGGTTTTGTTCTGGAAAGGTAAACTTGGTGTTTTCTAATATTCAGTATAGCTGTGACGAGTTTGAAAAATGACATCATTGCTCTCACTTCCTGTTGTCTCTTATGATTTAAGGTCTTTGGTAATGTCTAGTTGGAACTAGTCTGACCCATCTACTGCACTAATTATAATAAGTCTGGGATTGATATGTAGGTTTGTGTGCCTTGTAATCTGAATGCGTTTGGTGGACCCTTTATCTGACTCCAATTAGATCGTTTGCTGATTATTATCGAAATATACATCCAAGCTACTCCCGTAAATTTTAATCGATTTCACCCACGTCATTGAATGACTGATGTGAATCTGAACGGATTTTGAATACATGTATGCTATGCACTGATTTGTTTGAACAGATAATCAGGAAAATCAAATGAAGAGGAGAGAGCGAAGCGGGTTAGAGAAGGCGAGTTATCCGACCCAATTTAACCAAGCGTTACTCAATATTTATAGTCAGGCAGAAAATAAGTTGCAGACACACGTACGATCATATAAGAATAGTCAGGTTTAATAAGCCGATAAATAAACAACTATCCTACAATATACCCTTCTTAACGCTTATACTCTGTTTGGCAAACTATACTTTATACTATAGTCAACAGAGGCACTGCATCGATGCTTTACCCACAGTCCATAGCTTGTAACTGCCTGATAAGCTAGTAAAATGGTACTTATAGAAATAGCACTTTCCAACAAGTTGTGAAACAGAGGATTGTGTGAGGTATGACGTATATACAAAAATAAGCCTAAGTGAGCCTAACATCACAAAAGGAGGGAGGGTGGAGTTACTGACCAGCAAGCATTGATGGTGAGGGCGATAACTTCAAACCACCCGTGTTTGTGGGGACAGAACATTTTGTATGTATCAGGCTCTTTATAATTGAGAATAAGACAGTCAATCTAAGATATAGATTGTCTTCCTACGCTCACCACTCAGACTCATGTTTCCAATAATATGCTGGATTAGCTATTCTACTAAGACAACCTATAACATGCTAACTCGGACTTTTACACTAGGATTGCGTGGCTGACATCGGATGGACAAAAAAAGAAAAGAAAAAAGACAATGAAAGATATAGTCACTAGTATTAACACCTCACCCTCTATATACACACCCTTTTAATAAACCGCTTTCCTTGTACCAACCTTGACTTCCCTTC